CAAAAGTGCTTGTCCTGGTCGCCCGTAACGACGGTCATGACCGGTGGCAGGCAGCACGCTGACTGCGTCCAGAGTTTTTGTCTGTGACGTAATAAAGGTTTGAATCGCCGACCGCCAAGGAGGTTACTGACGGTCGGCTATGGCGTTTTCCGAAACCACAAAAGAACATGGCGGGCGACATTTTTTGGCTTTCTTGCCGAATTTCCTGTGATAAAAACACATTTCAGACAAAACATGAGATGGTTTGAACGAACTGGTTTTTTGTATAGCGTTTGTCACCTCATAGCCTTTTGCAGTTAAAATATCATCTGCTTTCCTTGCCAGCTTCCGAAAATCGTCGCCCGTGGTTGTTAAAATGTCTGTAAGTTGAGACCGGACGTCTGGTGGCAGATGACTGACGAACAAATGGCGAAATAAGAAATCTGGTGTCTTACCTACTGGATACAATGCAAGCATGTTGTCCATAAGTTCCGTTGCCGTTCCATCCCCTAGTCCAGGCATTGAACAAAGGCGCGCAGCTCGTTCAGGATCCGTTAGCGAACATTTAGTAGTGAGCTTCTCTTTGAGATCTTGGTACTTGTTCGTTTCCGGCGGGTTATTGAGAACATTAAGAATGCTGGCAGCGGTATTTTCATCCAGAGCGGCAACCACGTAGTGGTATTTTGTTTCATCTGTTGTGATATTTCGAACAGCGAACTGCGCTTCGACTTGGTGGAACCAAACGGCAGGATTTTTAGTCCAGAAAATCGGCAGCTTTAATGATACCGCTGTTAGGCCTGCTTTGTTGTCTTCACTCATATTCCTCGTTATGTGCGTATTCTTTTCTCAAAAGTATGCTTTTGAGGTCGGGGTCACCATTTGAAGCGAACTAACTTCTTTCTAATAAGAAAAAGACTTTCAATTATGTTGATGTTTAATCCATAACAAAGCAATGTTAACGACAAGCGAACAGAAAACAGAATGACAAGTTATCGTAAGAAAAGCACGTAAGTAATCATGCGTGACAAAAACATAAACAAAACAATTGTGACTCATAACGGCTATTATTAGTTAAGTGGTTCGCCACAATATGATATTATCAGACCTATGAGAAAGGTCGATGGTCGTGGATAGCAAAAGATTTATAAATTCCTCAAGACGAGAAAGGGTGACAATTAGAGATCTACCGATACCACCTTTGTCGCCGATACTGACAAAAACGCCGTTAGCGATGCCGATACAACGATATTACAAAAAGGCCAATATTGTGCGCAGGGCAAACGCGTTAAAACAAGTCTTTGAGCATTATTCATACTACGCATTATTCCAGATTGAAACAGAGATATATCACATCATAAGATGTTTGATGTTTGGGATTCAGATGCGTTAATTGATTTAGATGCATTGTGCAGGTATTGTCAATTCTAATTTAATATTAATATCGCGACCTTCGAATATTGTTATTCGTGTTCATCGAATATCGCCCACACATCCTAGCGCCGCCGTCCAGATTTTAATTGAAAGCACTTTACAAATATTTTGTTTTGTGTTTTATCGTAATTGTGCAAATAATTACAACCGACATAAAAGAATTACAATCAGCGCCGACTGGAAGTACCTATAAGCTATAACACGTCGAGGATGTTGCCAACAAGTGCGGCCGCTGTTAATAAGGACCTCTATTCTACAGTATGATTTAACAATAGACGCCTAGTTGCTCTTATATATGTGCTTGTCAATTGACACCACAATTCATAGGCATGAATAATGTAATGCTTATTAAATCTTATTTCTTAGATGCAATTTCATTTATATCACACATACCTTATGAATGCTTTACAATGACAACATTACCAAAGTCTTAGGTTCCTATGTTCATAAATTTTAGAGAAGTGAGGGGTATTAATGAGGGGGATTTTACAATGCATTAGAAATTTCAGATTCGAAAATATTTTTTCAGAAAGTATCCGAAATAGTCAAGTATTCGGTAATGGCCATCCCTGCTCATAAGGTTTGGCTACTAGGGTGGTAAAATAAATGAATGTTTAGCCTACTTATCCTATCAAACTGATAGCTTGAGTTACTTGCGCAAGATTCGGTGCCAATATAACGTCGTATTTTGTTATTTACTCATTCAAAAATCCACTAATATTCGAATAATACATCTCTTCATAATTACTATGTAAGACATTAGAAATGTCAAAATAGAAAATTTGGCAGCGAAAATAGTCAAATTAGTTGAGTGTTTGGCTGATAAGTATTTAAAAACAGGTCAGAATCTTATTCCCGTCTCGACCCACGGAGGTGGGGACGTGCATGGCTCTTAGTTCACGATTCCTTCATGCAAAAAATAATATTTAAACATCAGTATTTCAACCTAGTTTTGAAAAATTTTGGATCTTTTCAAAAAGATAAATATATATATCGGAAATATCGGTCTTAATTTAGCCGATACCGATACCAAAAAATAGGGCCGATACCGATACATCGGTATACATCTCTAGTGACAATACGACTTAATTATACGGCAAACCACGACCTCCCTTCCTGTTACCTGTCAATGTCGAGTTTGGAAATAGTTTGACAGTTGTAAGATTAAGGTGCATTGACATGATGGTGGAGGAAGCGGTAACCTGCCAGTGGTGACACAAGAGCTACCAACCGTCCCGGAGTGGCCGGGACAGTCCCGGAATTGACGTCTAGCGTCCGTTTTTCATTAATAAAAACGATTACATCTGTATGGTTCATTCAAATAGGAGTGAGTTGATATTCGTTGACACGACATGTTTCGTCAGCCGTGACCTGCTGATGACATGACACTAAAACAGGGTGGTCCAAGGTGTTCGGCCCCGCGGGCTACAAAATTAATTTTGCATTAATCGCGGGCCACAATAAAGCCGAGAATAGGTGCAATACAAAACAAACACTTTCACTGTGCAAACACATAGTTATCAGGCAGAGCCATTCTAGGCTAATAGAAGCCGCATTCGATTTTTAGTTTTCTCTGATGCCTATATTGTTAGCATATATATATATGTATTCCCGACCAAAAAGTTAGAAAACCAGATAACAATTTAGACTAACAAGCACATTATTTAACTTCGCTAGTTGCCTCAGCTAGCCATAACACTATTTAATTTAGTGACAATAGTGACTACAATATGTCAAAAGATTTTTCTGGTTAATTTTATGACGAAACCACACGAAATGCGGTTTTTCGATTACTCTTCGAATGTGACGCGGGCCACAAATAATTAAGCGGCGGGCCACATGTGGCCCGCGGGCCTGGGTTTGAACCACTCTGCACTAAAATAAGCTGAACAATTGCAAAATGGACGATAACATTATATACAGCAGTCACCTTAATTTGAGAGAATCAAAAACTTGATTGAGATTTGTTGAAAAATTTATTCAATAAAGTTGCGGCGTGTAGCAATATTTTGTGTTTTCAGTTGCTAATGTACTTTCAGAGTGAGGCCCTTTTATGAGCAGGATTCCATTATTCAGTCAGTTTTCAGGCTCGCATAGCCGTCTGTTTTAGGACGACTTGCTGACAGCTCTTGTCTTAGCAAGAGTTCATTAATTATTATCTTTCCGTAAAGATTACAAATTTTAACATAAAATTTATGAAAGCTAACTAAAATCACAATAAAAATTTAAATACCGAAAAGATTGATTATCTTGTATTTTATTTTGAGTAATTGAATCTACTCAGCACAAATCGTACATTTCCACTGTTTTAGTTTTTTTTTTTGCATTTACGAGTCAACATTTCATAAGTTTCTTTGATTATGAAAAAATTATTTACAGTTGTGAAAATAACGCTGCATGACGCGCAGCGCGCACTGTTGCTTTTGACGTGCTTCGTGTTTCACAAGCTTCTGTTGCATTAATTCTGAAATCGATATAAAAAACATATTTCAAACAGTTGATAACAACACCTATTTTCCTTATCTTATCTATGTATAGTTTTCACACATAGATGTAATTGAATCTTACAGACACTGAGGTGTCCCGAAATGGTTTAACACAAAGTTGGCAACCCTAGGTTACACGAACCACCCTGCTACAACGATGGGTTCAGAAATACTCTCGCTAGCATTTATTTATCCTCCGCGGAATTCGAACCTGCAAACTCACGTATAGTGATTAAAGTAAACGCAATTTATTCCATGAAAAACTGATGTAGGATTCTTCGTATCAGTTTACCCGTTCATATACAGAGGCTTGGGTCTTAAATACCACCCACCATGTTTCCCCGAAAACAAGACCTGGCCTGGATTTTAATATAGACCCTCCCCTAAAATAAGACCTAGTCGATAGCAAGAAATCTTTCCTACTCGTTTCGAATGGTTAATAATATATGTTTAGCAGTTATTTTAAATAAAAACGCGTTATGTATTTAAAGTAAATGGATAACGATTTTCATATTTTGTATATATATTTGAAAATCTCGCACTTCACTGCCTTATCCTTTTGTTTTTGATAAAGGAAAATTAGAGACATCCCCCCGAATTAAGCCCTAGTGTTATTTTACGTACTACGAAATTAGGGTATCAACTGTATACATTACCTTCGTGCTCTCTGAAGATAACTCAGACGGTGCATATATTTCGAAGATTTTGCTACCAACCAAGCGTCTTCTCCTGCGATAGTTCTGCCACAGTGCGGATTAATGGGTCAAGGAAACAAAAAATAAAACTTATTCCCACGTTAAGCTTCCCTAAATGTTGTTAAAAACATTTTTCAATCATGCATGTCCAGATCCGATCATCCCATATATCTCAAAGTATTAGAGGACTTTTTGCCTTGTTCAGAGCGAAAAAGTTTATTTTATCTTACCAAACTCAAGATGGTTACCATAATTTTTGATCAAACATTAAAAAATATATCTATATCAATGTACAAACTTGATGAGTAACATTGTTATAAAACCATCGAAACTGGCCAGCTATGTTAGTCAATGTGCCAAAGCTCCAAATCCCTCCAAGGAAACTACCTGTATATAATAATGACCTCAATTCATCATCAGACATCTTTTTATTATTGATATTAAGATGCATCATCTTAGAATTATATAGAACTCGATTTCAACTTGAGATCATTGCTTAAAAATACATATTCTGAAACTCTACATATGACATTGATAAATCAAATAGTTAGGATTTGATCTATCAGCAGCCACCACAGAGAGAAATGATTGGCAAATTTGCTTATAATCAACAGGTAATACAACTACTGATGCACGAATCATGGAGGGTAAGCATAAGAATGTTTGGTAAATTTCACAACAAAATTTAGTCCTAAAATAATAAATTCATCGTATTTTTATTTATTTTCGGAGGCACAACACTGGCAACAAGTTTTAGAATATTACAAATAAGTAATCAAAATAAATTTACGCAAGAGAAACCATACCAATATAAATCATAGAGATTACAACCAGGGCAAAATATACTGTAAGTCGAATGGAGAAGGAATGTTTTGATTCTTCGGAGTATCAAGAAAGGACTTTCACCAATAGTATTACCGTAAATTAAAAGTCAGTGAGACCGAATCTTTATAAAATACTCACTATTTTTTAAAGAAATTCTGACAAATTAATTCCTTGAAAATGCTACCGAAATTTCTGCCAGAAAGGATTAAATTGAAATATATTATATATTTAGTTCGCAAAAACAAACTTTGTGACAAATCGTATTTAACGCTACCTAGCGCTTCCATAACTGGATTACAATGTTTGCCCTGGCTGGAATAAAGATGACTGAGACTTACATTAAAATACAGTAATCAATCTAAAGGAGATACAATATAGATAGATGTTACTACTAAACTTCACACAATAATAATATAATATTAAATATGTTTCACCCAATCTTTAAATTAAAAGGTGTTTCTAACTAGTGTAAATTACATAAAGACAAGTCAACACTGCGCTCATTTCAGTTCATTACATCATAAGAGTGCATTTACGCTCGTGAGAATTAACAATGATCTGTTTAAATGGGTAAAATTCTTGGGCTCAAGTTAAAGATTGATGAATGAATGTCAAATCAACCAAGATTTTGTTTATTAATGATGACTAAAATTAGTCTCGAAATAGCCAGATCATCCCTTTTTAGAAAAATAGGGTATATTGAAATATTTGATTTCAAATGAAAATCAAGACACAAACAATTTGGTTTTTAGGATAATTTAGCACTGAGTTTCCTTTTTTGCTGTTAAATAAACATTTTTGAATATACCAAATGCAATCCATTTCGAGTAATATCTTATATTGTGAATTCATTAGGAACATATTGTATATATCAGAAACAGGAAATATTTTAAACGGACCAATTGGGTACGAACTATTCATTTTAGAAGCCAAATTTTTGAGGAACAATATAGAGCAGAACGGTTGAAAGAACTTGAAAAAATTTAATCGGGACTAAGCAAAAGCGTGAAAACAATACATGGATAAGATAAGAAAAATAGGTGTTGTTATCAACTGTTTTAAATATGTTTTCTATATCGATTTCAGAATTAAATTAGCTTTATATTTACAAAGCTATATTTCAAATCTGAATTTGCATACGAAATAACACAGATTTTCAACATTGGCTAGCTATTTTGGATCATGTGGAATTTAAAACAATAAAAAATTAGCCATATCTAATAAATGTATATTATGTCCTTTTTCCTATTTTTTCAAAGAAAAAGCCATGTTAAATAAAGTGAAATGGAAGATTAATGAGAATTTACGGTGAGTAACTCTTGCACCAAAACACAATAATGTTTGACAAAAATAGATAATAATATTGAAATAAGAATTGATTCGAATACATATTTAATGAACGATACATTACAAATCCATGTAATATTTTCAAGTAGATTTGATATAGATATCGGTAAAAAATTGATTTCTGAATCAAGGGTCAGGAACTTGCTTTACTCAGATACAGCTAAGCACAATACCATAGTTATGGTCCCTGGATTGTTCCACTATCGCTGAGATACTAAGCATCTAGAGTGCTTTGCAGCAGGCTTGTTGTTTGTTAGAGGGGCCATTGGAAGTTGACGGTATCACTATGTCGACGCCCTGTCCATTTTTAGGCGAATCTTCGCTTTGCGTGTCGTGGATTTGTTTCTGCGACACAATGCGGTAAATCTCTGTTGTGGGGTAAAGGGTTAGGTAGGATGAAAGAAGCAAAAGAAAAATAAATGCAGTTAGTGCTCATGCGACAAAAAAAACAAATTCCACCAAACTAAGATGTTGAAAAATGAGCAAATGTATTGCAAGTGCCTCAGCTCCCATGCCACAGCTATCAACATTTAGATAGTTTGTATGTAAAACAAAACATGTTATCAAAAATAACCAAGGTTATTGAAATAGATCTTTGTTTTATTTAAATCAAAGTTGATTATCCGTCTATACCGAAACCTTTTGCAAAATACAACAAGCATTGAGGAATTTGTAATGACATTTGAAACTACTATAATGACTACAAACATAACGGGCATTACATTCTATCAAAGGATGACGAGGGAGCGAAAAAAATTCAATTTTTCCAGGATAATTGAGGCATTGACATTATAGCTTTACAATGGAAGCTGCAGTCAACAAAACTGATCTTTTGAACTTGTATTTGAGAATTTTAATAAACCAAAATTTTTTTTGAATCAACGCCAAAATATACATTTAGTTATGACTCGAGACCCATGCATGCTTTTCAGTATTACCATTCTGATTATATAAAATGCATGAAATATGACATAAATGTGGTCATATTACTAAAATATTTTTCAAATTGCTGATGTAATTGAAATGATTGATTCTTTACCATTGAGCATTTATTAACAATGACTTCATTCATGGAGTTACAAAAATATACATTCCATGCATTTCTGATCAGTAAGCAAATGTATGGATTCATCCTCAACTACACCCAAACACATACCATCTCTCTAGCAACATAGAAATGAAACAAAATTGATAAACTAAAAAGACAACATCAAATTTGTCCCCAAAGAAAACACCACATATAAAATTAATTTTTATGTTGACCTGTTTTTTTGATATACCCTCATTTTTCGTATACTGTCGGCCTCAGATTACCTTCATGCTAGAAGCAATAGAAGGTGAAGATATAAGAAACCCTAAACCGAAACTCGATCAGATTTCATCGAAGTAGCCAGCTACACAAGAAGATGTGTACTGTCAGTGCAAATTCCTAATTTCACTTATTCTAATTAATATTCTAGCATAACAAATGAAAAATACTGAGAATGTGTGATAGGGCGCAGAATTTAAAACTAATTTCCATATCACACATTTCAATTTAAAAATAAAATAACTTTTTTCTATGAAAAACAAATCCCACCACCATCGGACAGATGTACACATATACACTAATCTAAAACATAAAGTATGTAGTAGTCTAGTAAATTATCTTTAGCATAGAGTATTATGCTAAGCAAAATAATTTGCAAACTAAGTTCATACTGACACTGGCCCTAGTGCTGTGGCCAAAAAGGTTCATTAGCTCGTGCACTGATGAACTATGGTATCATGCATCACCCGAAATACATATTAGTAAAATGGAAGTGGGAAAGGTGCTTGGGTCTGGTATTGTGGAAGTGTTGGAAATAGGTATTTGGTAGAGTCTAAATAACGCTGATGTACCGAGATAAATCGCAGTTCGCAGAGATTCTCCATACAAATTAAGGGCTGCAATAATGCACAACTATATTGAAGCCTCGTCCCGAACCAACGTTTAAAACCAGCCGCTGTTGATTTTTAACTTTATTATAGAACATTGATTGAAATTTTCTTGTTATATGAGTAAAAGTAACCAGCTGAATAAAATATGATATAATACAATGTTGAGTAACTTTGCTATATTATTAATAAGAAAAATGCACATCTCAACAATTTCGGACAGAAGAAGTTTGCCTTTGTTTAATGTGTGCTCAATCCACAGCGTTTATTAATTAGACATGTCAGATTGATAGACAATTTTTTCTGATGATATATAAGCAACACAACTTAAATCAAGATCATTTATGATTAGGTGAATGAGCGTGTACTTCCTGCATTAATGATATAAGAATGATTTCACAATGCAACAGAGTACTGAAGTACAACCGATATTTCACCATGTCATTTAATTTCTTGTGGTTATAATACAGAAATGATATTGTTTAATAATCCTGATGATAATATGAATGCAATTTTCAAACAAAACTTTTTTTTATTTTGGTTTTGGAAATAAAGAATATATAACAGACGATGTAGCAAAGTTGCATTGTCCATTATATATCTTCAGGTGGTTTTTGGTACTGAAATTTAAGCTTAGCAAAATATGAATAATTCCTTAATCTGTTCTTATCAAAGCATTGATAGTTTGCCTCAAATATTATACACCACTGATAAGAGACTGTAAGGGTTGTATTCTCTTCATCATTTTTAGTTGTTACAGCAAGATTTCCTATTCTCTTTACCGCCCTCTGTGTTTGTTGGCGGGATGATGTCGACTACATCATTGGTCGGTGTATCCTCTGTGGTGTTCTGTGAGTCTCGAATTTGTTTCTGAGATACTATGCGATAAATCTCTGCGAGAAATCAATATAGTAAATAGGCTTCGTAGTTGACTTACAAATACTTATGCCCAGAATGAAATGAATATATACATAGTCAGTGTAAATATTCTAAAACAACATTTTTTTTTTTTTTTGGAATAATTGCAGCCTTCGAAAAAGAAGTAAATAATACAAATTTCATCATCAAACCAATATTTATAGCAATCTCATAATAAAGTTAAAATCTAGCAGTTAAAAAACCCTTTCTTGTATTATAAAATCAATTTGACTTGGGCAATCCTTTCCGAAATGGGAAAGTTATTCACCAATTCCAAGAAGAACCTGTGTTGCCCAATGCTTACTCATAAATGACGTTATAGTAAAAACACCAGTCAACAATCAGTACTGGACCGGTAATGACTTCCTGTAGAAATTCAATCTGAAACTGTGCCATTATGCTGGGGCTACACAACATTTTTAAATCATAAAGTCCAGCATTGAATTAGAGCACCGTTGGTACAGAATGCAATTGCCTCCTCTTTCGATAAAATTTTTGCGTTGCCTACCGTGTGAGATTCAGAGTAGGCTACTTATAGCTCAGTAAGTATATTAGGCTATCTATTTAGTATTTAATATGAATCATGATTAACGCTTACTGTAATTGCGATAATTCTTGCTTCAAATATGAAAATGACAAGTGAATTCCCAATTCTATGAAGCAAGTTTCATTTATCATACCAATTCACTTTCATTTTATAAGAGACAATAGAATCAACATTACTATACCAATACAGCAATTCAATCAACTATCCAAATCTTTATGATAGAATAATAAAATAGTAAGATATTGATGTGCTTGAGTTAAAATTGTTCTTTAAGCCCTTTCCTCCAACTAATAATAAATCAAGCAATGAAAACTAAGTTTGGCTTGAAATAATTTTACAAGTATCAGAATATTAGACACATTGAAGCTTTGAAACAAGTACCAATATAGTCTTTTGATATATATTTTAAATGATGCCAACCTTATTTGAAATAAGATACCAGAATCTAAGTTATATATTATATAGGCACGTTCAATTATATCAAATCAATTCTAGTCAACTGTGTTTAATCATCACAGGGAACGCTCTATTCATAACTGTTTAATCTCCAAATATGAACGAGATGTCACCACAGAGTCGTTTGATTAAACATATGACATCATTCTCATGAATGAGGAAATATCCACATGAATAAACAAATAACCTAACATTTGTGAACTTCAGTATTAAAAGCAATAGCCTGGTTTGACAAGATAACTATAAGTTGTAATGTTTGCTATAAATACATTAGAAATGAATTTTTAAATACTGAAATCATGATCTCAAGATGGAAACAAACTACCGTACTAATTTAAAATTGTGAAAAATTATTATTCAAATTATAAAAGACTGAACCAAGATGAAAATATTCCACCACATATTCAGCAACTTATGTCAAAAACCGAATCGCTGGTAAAATTTCCATTCCACACATATTCTCTGAACTGTTCTAATAGTCTATTTAAGTTGTGGGTTGAATATATTTGATTATGCAGTTATTCAATGGCCATACTAATAGTGTTGAAAAAATCAGCAGCATAACCTCAAATATCCAAATAGGATATGAAATTGATTTCATAGCATATAAAAATGCACACAATGCTAACACAATTACAATTGTAAATAATAAAAAAAAAATTAAACGTACATTACATAACCAGTGGATTCTGAAGGCAAATCTCAAACAAACAGTCAAACACACTCTCAATTCTTTCGTTATACTAACAATCAACTAACAGAATTTTCTATTATGAGTAAAACATTACCTGTAAGTATATTATGGAAAGCTGTCTCTACATTGGTTGAATCTAAAGCCGAAGTTTCAATGAATGATAGACCATGAGTTTCTGAAAAAAAAGAGAATTAGGTTACAGATTTGTAGATCTCACAAATTTGAATTGACAAAAATATTATAACAATAGAAACAGAAATTCGAATTGTGACGATTCTTAAGAAAATTTTCGTTTTTATGAATCATACAGGGTGGCCATAAATGGTTCCATTACATTTGAACCCATGGCAATTGCACCTGTATGCTATTGCACCTATGGAATTTTTTTTGTTTTTCGGATAGTTGAACCCACACTAACCCTAACCCATGGGTTTTAGCACCCGCATATAGATTGAACCCGTGGATATACACATGGGTTCAAATGTACATGGGTTCAAATGTACGGTCACCGCCATAAATACCTATACAATATCAATTTTGTTATGAAGTCAGTTCTCAATATTCATCTGTGAGCACCAAAACAATTTATGGTATCGATAAATTCCCTTTGCAATTGTATTGTACTGCAATTGTACTGTATTTGAAAAAAGATGTAGCCTACCTGAAAATGCTTTCGCCTCATCAGAAGGTACAGCTCTCAAATGTCGTAAATCACTCTTGTTTCCGACTAACATGATGACTATATTGTTATCTGCATGATCACGGAGTTCCTTCAACCATCGGTCAACATTTTCATATGTCAAATGTTTTGCTATATCATAAACTAACAAAGCACCAACTGCACCCCTGTAGTACCTGTTAAGCAATAAACAATTTTTTCCATCTTTCAAGCAGGACAAATGTAGGCTTTTTTATTTTAGAAGCGTTCAGCAATATTTTCTCCAATCTCCAAAGATATTCTCATATATTCCTTTATTGGGCTCATATTTCAATGTAACGTGTGCCACAATTTGAAATATATGGTTTTTTCAAATAAAAATGAATGGTATGGAATAAAAAATAATCATACTACAACTATATAGTGTCTATATCTATAGCAATTATGTCATCCCAACAAAATGTACGGTCAGGTAATGCAGCCAATATTGCAGATTAAGATACTATATGATAATGATAATCTTACGCCGATGTGATGGCCCTGTATCTTTCTTGTCCTGCAGTATCCCATATTTGAGCTTTGATTGTCTTCCCGTCAACTTGTATACTTCTCGTTGCAAATTCTACACCGATTGTACTTTTGCTCTCGAGATTAAATTCATTCCTCGTAAATCTTGACAAAAGGTTACTTTTCCCGACACCAGAATCTCCAATTAGGACAACTGTAAAATGAAAAAAAAATCTTTGTTACACCGAGATGTTCTGATTATACCAAAATGATACGAGTTGAAAATGAGTAACATAAAAAAAAATCTGAACTGCAGTGGACCTCAGTTAAAAAACAACTTTTTAAAATCGACTTGGTATTATTAAAGTTGTGTTCACAAGTGCATGGCTAGAATTGTTATTTATATCGACGATACCGTCCCTATTAAACTATCAGTTTGGCTTATCAAATTAATAAATGAGTTTTAATCTTTACTCATAAACTAACGATACTACAGAAAACTTATCCATTGTAAGAGCTCATGACTGAGGGTATAATAATCCATAGAATTAAATGTTCAGGTGTCTATTGATTTATTTGAAAAATGTGCATGAGTGCCGATTACATTCCTGTGTTTTTAATTTGAGACTACCAATCAATGTTAAATTAATTATCATGCCAATTCAAAGCCGAAACAATAACGACGAACAGGGTTTATTTTACATTACCAAGTAGCCTTTCAATTCAAAGTATTTTAATGATGTTTGTGGTTTTAAGGTTAATGAGAGAAGTTTTTATCTTGGATTTTCCAACTAACAGGTGATTTCAAAATTATTCTTCAAATTCAGAATATTAAAATTACTATTCTGACACTGACACCCATCTGGTATCTTTCTTCATATCTATTATATAACATAATTTCATGGTATAGTATTGGAAAAGAAAATAGCAGCAGAATACTGATACCTCTAAAGATCCCTAATTACAAAGATGAATGACTTAAATATAAGAAAGACATCCAAGTTCTAAAAGCCCCAAAATTTGAGTAAATGGAATCTCATTGTAAAAATTCATGTTTAAAGCTAGTTTGAGTAAATGGAAACTCATTGTAAATACTCATGTCGAAAGATAGTTTGATATGCCTGATTTCAGGTACAATACAATGGTATTTCACATAATAAACAGTTGATGCTCTTTTTGTAAATATGAGAAAGTTCTTGTCTGGGTGCAAGCCGGCACCAACATCAGTGATGCAATACCAATAGTTCAATAGAAAGCTAATGCAAACACACAATGTATGTCAAATTTGTCTATATACTGCAAATCATTTATTAGCTCTGATGCATTACATACCCAACATAGTTGTATGCATTGATATTTAAAAGAAAATTCTTATATTCTCTTGTTACCAAGAGCTATTTCAAGATAAATATCTTACACTATCTTGTATAGGCTACTAATTATAATTTGATACCAATTTAAATGTCTTGCCTTTCACAAAACATGTATGATTTAATAAATTTAAAAAAAATATATATTTCTTCATTTGAAAAATGCAGTCATTTTAACAACAAAATAAAGTACTACAAATAAATTCTATATAAAATCAACCGCAACAAAATGATGGCCAAGAAATTGATTAATATATATGGCATTTGAGTCCAACGGCAAAGCATTTTCTAGTCTAGCTAAAGTAATAATGGTGATATTACATAACCTAGTGAAAAAAATTCTAGTGTAACGTGATGTATAATTTTGAACTTTCATTTTATTAAAAACCGCCACTTTTGAATTTGTGGATGTGTAAAGGCTTGTTCATGAGCTCTAATAAGATTTCAGTTGTAAAATGCTTTAAAATAAGTATCAAAATAATTAATGATTAACAAAATTATGAATCGGCCTGAATAGACAAACACCACAGCGGTTGAAAGACCATATATATCGAGAGTTTGTATTCACAATATAGAATGTAATTTGAATTGAGAAATATGCCTATATTTGGTCTGGAGATAAATGCCTAATTTAACAAAGGATCAAGCTAGTCACATAGTATATGTCGGACATACCAAAATTTCATTTAGTGTATTTATGCCTTGATACAAACCTTTAAATAAATAATCGTATTCATCATCTTTAGTACCCATGATTTGAGTTTGTGATTTTGATTTTCAAATTTGCCCTGTGAAGATAAGTATAAAAATCATTACGTCAACAACTCGGCATCATAAATTCAGACATTGTTTATCAATGTCGATATGCAACCAATATATTTAAAATTCAAAGGAATACATTGACATAAAAGTTTTTATTTCAGAATTACAAATTCTGGCAAATTCTATAGTGAATATAATTTGGTAGAAGTATAACTTTTTATTAATAACAAAATGTTTGATAAAACAAAACTAAAACTTACTGGTACACTGGTCCAGAGATCAATAAGAAATCCAGGTAGATTGGAGTGTGATACCCAATTGCTAAAAAGCAATTAACTGTACTGTTCTGTGGCTTGTAGAGCTTAATTAGGGAAATATGTCAATCACACTAAAATAGTCAATAAAAGAACAAAACATATTTAGATCTTGTTTGGGCACTCCAGAAGTACGGTATGTGTACCAATATGAAGGTAACTAATTTTGTTCAGCTACTTGACATCAAGTTGTGTAAAGGGATGGGAGCCTATGGGCAGGGGGTATATTCACTTGGCTAACACAAACAGTGCCCAAAATCGTAATAGAACTAAAATAAGGAAAATCGGAATAAAATTATGGCCTAACCCTCACCTGGTACACATACTATGGAGATACCCTTGTTTGATATGACACTGTATGGCCACACTCATACTCCATGGAAACTAAACTCTCGTCATTAAAAGAACGTAACATGGTACCATTGATTGATTTTGGGCCACATTGAAAATATTATAAAGAAAGCAAGGCAAAATATAAAGTGACAAATCCCTATTTTGCAAAATTAAAACTAAAATAAATATGAACTGCTCACACAATAATTAGTTTACCATTATAAGTTTGGCATATGAAGGAATACTTTTAATTCTCATAAAGGATGCAAATAACAGAAACGAAAACATGGGCCATTTGATGAAACACACCATGGTATGTTCCACAACACACTGGTTTGCAGTGAAGTAGATCAAGGTGTACCAAATAGGTTTTGAGCTCAAACAGAAAGCTTATAAAATGCTTGGTCCATGCTGCACTGTTTGTTTTCAAACTACCCTTATATATTAATTAACAATTATTGTTGGGTTATTTTTACTTGATCCAAGCCTTCTGAGCATAATGAACATGAACCGTGTGGGCTTTGTCAGCATTTGAACTATTTCACACCTGTTTTTCACTGAAATGGAGCATACTCTGCAATAATTGATAACCCTAGGAAAATACATAGGTATGTAAATCGCATAGTGAAGACTACTGGATATAACAAAGCAAGCACTTCAGTAAGATATTAATATGACACTGCTGATATTCGTAAAATGTCAGCAACCAAAGTAGGGCCATTCCAAGGAACTGTTGAACTTCATAAATTTTTTTAATAGTGTAGTGAAAGTAATTGTTTTGTATTTTTTATATCAAAAGACACTTGAACGTTATTGGACTGCATTCATTTCACCAAAAAAGTTTAAATTTCATCCAGGTTTTTGATGATTTGAACAAAGTGGCCTGAAATGTAGAAATTTTGATACAATCGACATGTTTTCTGATGACTCATAACATGAATTGTTTGATTGTCTGGTACAGTTATTTCATTTCGAATAGATGCACTAGACTTAAGTTTGAGCCTAAGTGTTTGCAGTGCTGTAGGACATGTCTTTACCTATTTAACGATTTATTACCAGAATTTTAAGAGATGATAGAGGCTGCTGTTCCAAAGAGGAAAAATGTGTCCCGTACAATGTGCACATTATCGTCATGGATCTACAGTGTTACATTGAGTAACTTGAGTGACACAGAGAGGTCTGTCCTTCAGTTATTGCACCGGAAAATAGCTCTTGCTGTACTAGCGCGACAATTTACAACACAACACAATGAAACGTTGATGCATGGTGAACTTGCCGTTCCGTAGTGTCACACTATATTTTATATCCACTAAGTGAATCTTGTTTTTACCCTTTGTGCAGTTTTGTTCAAACCCTCATAAAGCAACTGATTGGACAATGATACAAAACATGTAGCTGACAATGTAAAAATATAGTACATCTCACAAGTCCGTACGTTGTTTCGTAGAGTCCTTTAAAATAACCCAGTACGCAAGTAATAAGTTTCAAACAGACGCCAAGAGCAAGTGGAACAGGACTTAACAAATCACAGCTAACCCCAATACAGCCCATGTTACAAACGCACGATGATATTCTTTCGCTTAGAAAACAATGAATACGAAAAAAAAAAATCATCGAGTCTAAAATGTTTGATGGAGCCACATAAACAAGTATGAATGAACTTATTACAGTATTTCTGTATTGTGAATGAAACAAATATTCAAAACTGGGGTCTTCTAAAGTACACGTCCTCAAGTACTTCTACTGGCAGACTGGGCGTAGGATAAAGATTTTTGCATATAATATTCCTAACCCCAGCGACTTCGCAGTGATGTAATTTTCGGATTACGTTGTCAGATGGGGATTAGGCATGAGATATACAAAAATTGTCCAGCCGGGCCAATTAGAAGTACTTGCTGCGTGTACTTCACGAGACCCCAAAACTGGAACCTATTTCAGGCAAATAATATGAAAATGGCAATTCCACTGTTTTGCATGTATTTAAAACCATGTTCGCAGTGGCGTAGCCAGGGGGGTGGTTTTGCGGGTCAAAACCCCCCTTTTAAAATGTAAAATGAATAAAATCATTTTTCTGTATCATAGATAGCAATTTTCCGTAGCTTGAAATGCTTTTTAGACCCACAAGACTACTAGAAACAGACGTATTCCAGAGTTCGATCGAACCCGCTAGCAGTTTCGGTCTACCTTGGCAAAAAAAAATTCAGAACCCCCCCCCCCCTTTGAAAATTTCTGGCTACGCCCCTGCATGTTCGGTATGATAGCAGGGGTCTGGTGTAGTTTCGTAACTCGAGTACTTCCAATGGACGTAGCACAACAACTTTTGCGTATGTCAATCCCAATCCTAACCTCCACCTGACTGCGTCACTGAAAAATCACCTCAGGACGTCCTAGTGCAGTAGTGATGTAATAATTCAAACTATAAGAACTGTCATCCATAATGCAGTAATGGGCAGGCGATCATCCTGAAATTGAGCAAGCTATTTCTCTCGTTTTTGGATGACATAGTCAGGTGGTGGTTAGGATTGACAAAATCGTTATGCTACATCCACTAGAAGTATTTGAGATACGATACTACACAAGACCCGATAGCAGTCCTTAGCAAGCTTAATGCAGTAATGATTTCATGGTGCCGCGGTGTCCAGTAAAGTCATTATAACGATTTGAGTTTTTTGAATCCAACTACTGAACTACAATATTTATCTGCAAGATGAGTCCTGTATTCTTTCATGCGCCTCGAAATACAGCATCACTGTACCTAACAGATAGATTATCAGAAACCTAAAATGCCAGATCTGAAATCAAACGTTTAACCGCAAGCACACTATTTCATTGGTGGACATTCAGACATTGGGGTCTAGTAAAGTTTAGTACCACAAGTACTTCCAGTGGGCGTAGCATAACGATTTTTGCATATGTTATTCCTAACCCTCACCTGACTATGCCATCCAAAAATTACGTCACTACCACGTCATAGGGATTGCCAAAGTATAACTACGATCGCCCAAAATGGCATCTGCGCCGCCGATCAGAACTTGCTAAAGCCGGCGATCTCTCTCCTATCGTGATCGTTGCGACGAGAAAACGAGAAAAATAGCTTGCTCGATTTCGGGTTATCGTCTGCGCGTTTTGAAGACCATCCGCATACTTCGGTGAGCCGTATTACGCCACTGTGACGTCGGAATGACGTAATTTTTCGGTGACGTAGTCAGGTGGGGGTTAGGATTGACATATGCAAAAATTGTTGAGCCAGGCCAACTAGAAGTGGATGTGGTACTAAACCAGTAAACTATACCAGACCCAGACATTGAGTGGGTGTATAACTGCTGAACTGTATAATGGTATCTCTCAGATGCCCCAACCCTTAAACTGATGCCTAGATGAGAGGGAAATTACAGACTATCTACGTACGGTACCGGTACTATATAGCATCAAAATTGTTACAATAGCATTGTGAGGCAAGTTTTATTTTTCATTGGAATGCAGGAATGGCATGCTATTTTCGGGTGGAGACTGACTCGCCATGGAGGCTGGTATGACATACCAACAGTACCAATGCGGTAATTCAGTAATATTTTGATCTAGCCAGACTGTACAGCTGTAAGAGAACTAGCAAATCGCAAGCAATACAGCAATGACCGACTGACGTCTCCACCGTCAGTCGTAGTCTACCGATAAAGGTGCTGAAATAACGCTGTATCGTATACCGTAATAGTATACCGGTAATGAAAATCAGATAGAACTACATCCTATCCTTGGATACGTTACACACAAGGTGGTACGCCACTTACATTATTCAACACCCTCGCATAAAATACGATAATACGACTAAATCAAAACGAAACAAAGATTTGGCCAGGCCGGCACAAACGCCCCGATGTCTCAGATTGAAACGCTTGCGCGATTAATGTGACGTCATAAATAACGACGATTTCAGGAAAATATGAGCTCACGTGACGGAAGTTGACAGGAGGAGGATGGGGTCGCGATCGGGTTTGCCGGTCGTGCATTAACTTTTGTGGTGTTTTCCCGCAGTGGGATTAAATATTTTAAAAACGAATTATTTTTATATCGAACTCACTAATAACAGCTTCTCTCATTTCAGAAAATATATATGTCACTGAGTTCTACCGTAAATATGGTTCTACCGGTACTCCTATCCTAATGATCTTGCTGTCCTGGATAAGGATTACGGAGAAGGTTCGTGTCGGCTCCGTGGAGGGAGAAAAAGAGTAAATAGCCATTGTGGTTCTATGCTATTAAAAGTTAAATGAATCAAATACATAACTTTTGTAACTCATTTCCTGCAGTCGTGTAACGGATAAATCCAAAACGGGTTCGCTTATTATTAAGACATTTCAGGAACGGGTTCGAGCGAATCCCCGAATTGCCTACCACTGGTGAGTGGTGATATCCAATCGCGAAAAGTTATGAATTATTTTATTCGAGGCGTGTGAATGACCAAAAGGATTAGGTAGGTGCAAATGATTTATTAATTTCGTCCAATGCATAAGTGGTTTCCGAAAGTTTCAAATATTAGACCAGAGCCGGTATATAATGGATCTGATTAAGAATTCATAATAGAGGTAAGATCGGGCCAAAAAATTCCAGCTCGGCCTGACCCAGTCCCGAAATTACCTATTTTATTTAGGAGTTCTGTGAATTGTCATTGCAAGAGTTTAGTACAGTATGCAGACCGCGGCCTCTCGCGGCCAAACCACGGCCGAAACGCCCCAACGCACTGTGATGGGGAGGGAGAGAGCGCAAGCAAGCAGCGGGCACTGCACTGCTGGATTATCGATTGACGTGATTTAAAATTAGTTAGCGGTTCAAACCCCGAGATCCTTCTTTGATTTATGAGGTGACAACCTCGCTCACAGGCTATCGCCACGGTGACACCCAACTGTGAACCATGCATAACACCATATGTTGCAGGTGTTTATTTTTTGGTGAAGCTCATATCATAATCTTAATCAAGCAATATTATTAACGGACAGTCACCAGAGAAAGAGAGAGGACGGAACTGTAGTCCGTATGAGTGATTTTTGTTCTAAAGAGATTATTTTTAGCATCTGGTGATCTGATTTGGGCACGGTGTTTCTGGCTCAACATGGGCCATGCTATTACCGTAGCTCTGACGCTGACAGGCCATTACGCACTCATATGCGCACTTGCTTAATAACGGGAGAAATGCTGCAGCCCACTAGGCTTACAATAGAAAAAATGCGAATCAAATAGGAAAAGGTATATGAAATTCAGCTTTAATTTTCTCTATCTTTAATTTGGTCCAAAAATGGAAAATCTAATGAAATGATCAAAAACCAAGAAAACAGAAATAGCCTAGGCTTACAATAAATCTACATAAACTAGATCAGCGAAGCCAACGCAAGTTTTTGCAGCATTTTCAACAATCAGTTTGAAGGTTTTCCACACCTTACTCTTACCAGTGTGTGTTTTCCTTTTCAGTTCCCCTGTCTTTAGTTTATCCTTAATTTATTTCTTCTCCATATCGGGGATACCGCGTCAAAATTATGCGGACTTGCGGAGGGGAAGATTATCAAGAGAGCAGTGTCCAAATGCACAGAGCATGCCCTGGCCTGCGGCTCGTGTTTAGTAGTTAAATTGCAATTACGGCTCCTTCCCCGTTTTATCCGTGTTAGCGTAGGTATTTTATATCAAGTATCTTAATTTAGTATCCACACATAGTTTTAGTATATATATATTATTTATAAACATATATATTTATTTAAAGAAAAAAAAGTCAGCGATAAGGAAGCCCGGCCCGAGAAAGCTGCGCTAAAATTAGCTATTGGTAAGTGAGAGGCAGAGCTAGTTTGGTAGATACTGCCCTTCTCCCGACCATACAATACACTTCAAGAAATTGATGCGCTGGTGTTCGGACAGGCTATTATCTTATTTTCTGTCAGTTGTCTTACGATGTTGGCTGCAGGATGCTTGGCGGCTTGACATTTTGTTGAAGATGCTTGAATGTCTTCAAGCGACCTAACTCTGGGTCGCGACTAGGGCTGGGCATTTCGAATCGAATAGTAAATTATTCGAATCGGTTCAGAGCGAAATTCCGAATCGCCGCCATCTTGTTTTTTTTCCGCCAATTGTCGAGTTAAATTTCTCAATTTTTTTTATTGAAGCCATACTTTTTCAACGCAATTGTGACATATGACTCTTTTTCTGTAGTGAGTTATTGACGAAAACGTGTTTTTTATTGTGTGCAAACGCTCAGCAATCTGTCTGAGGGATGTATATTACGTTCCCAGTGATTTATATATATGTCTGGAGGACCAAATACAGAAAGAAAGTTACATACAATTCTTATCTCCCAAATATTCGGGATTCGATTCGAAAAAAATATTCGATTCGATTCTGAAATCATCAGGTATTTGAAAATGCCCAGCCCTACTCGCGACCCACAGGTTGGGAAACAATCCATCAGCACCCCTGAAAATGTACTTCCACCTATGTTTATATTACTACGCGTAAACTTTCACGACCACTTCGTCATATGGGGATCACCGGACTGACAAGCAACAAATTCTGGCTGGAATGATGAAGAACGTATTCTTGTGTAGGATATCTGGAACATCTCCTACGCCAGGCATTGTATAGCAAATTCAAATGTCAGCTATGACATTGAGAAATATTTTATCTGGATTCCAATCACTGGAATATGCCCTTACAATCGCGATATTTTTATCGATGTAGATTTTGGCTCTTCCTGTTAGCGTGAATCATATAATAACGCGTTTATAATTTGGTGACGTTTTACGTTGTTACGCAGACGTTGCAAACGTCCTGTTTCTAGATTAATCCCGGGAATTCTAAATTATCGCCGCGCTGCTTCGATGAGTTGGCACCTTCTGTCTTGTATCCAGTGTAGGGTTACCATATTTGAAAAAGCAAAATTCCGGACAGTGCATGAGTATTTTCAGCGCTCCCGAAGTATGTGCATCAAGATGGCACACAATCTATACTATGTTCAGGCTCTTATGTGTAATATAATCATAAAAACAATAAACCACATTAGTGTATTATCCATTAAAAATAATCACAACCAACAGTAAATAAAACAATTTTTACGAACATTTTTAGATTTTTCAACTGTTATATATAGCCGATATATATATCGACCGTTTACTGCCGATATGATATATCGGTAAACACACAGCATTTGGCCGATGTAACGGTTGAGCTCTAATCATGAAGGATTGTGACAATAAAGATTCATGCCTCCAGTCTCAACGTGAATCGAAATACCAATAGATACAAGTCACAACTGTAGTTTGAAATTTTACCGGTACCTAGTAGTCTACCTCAGGGTGGTTCAAGGTTGCTAGGTTGAAGGACCGCAAAAACTTTTGAGGAGGTCTCGCGGGCCGCAAGTCGGAGAAACCCAAAAGTGATCGAATTATTGCGAGTTTACTTACTTTTAATTTAATAAACAACGAGAGTTTACCGTTCTAATCAGACTAATATTATATTGCATGGATGGCGTTCTTTTAAAGAAGATATATAAAGCCTTCTGTTAAAAAAAATTATCCCCTAAAATTAACGTTGTATTTTCCGCATGTCGCGTTTGATGTCGCTTCAAATTATATTCTTTCGTGACAGATATTACTTGAAATCAAACCAGACACTGTGTGATGGGCAAAGAAATACCTATCCGCCGTGTTTTCCATATGCCACTTTTCTTGTGACAACCATTTTATTACGAATTGTTATATTTAAGTAATTTAAAAACTTGCAGCGTGAGCAAAACTCCCGACTTCGCTGACCACTAGATCGTTGAAATGCGATCGTGGAACCGCCACATATAGTGCAAATAGATCATTGGTCCAATTGTTGAAAAGAAAAGAATTTTTTTAAAACAAAAAAGCAGCGACAAGGTGAATACTAGCAAGAAAAAACAACAACAATTTTACAAAACGACTCATAGGCTCATTTCGTGTCCAATAAATAAGTTTCAGTGTTTGTTTTTGATAAAGAAGGATAATATTATGATACTTGAAGACGAAAAATAAGCGAATATGGTGAAGTTTGAGTCGCATGGTGAACTCGTAATATTTTAAATAAACACCGATAAACTATATAAAATATTGCTATAAAAACTTCTGTGGGGCCCCTTTTTGCTTGGTGCCATAAGCACGTGCTTATAATGTTCAATGGTTAATCCGGCGCTTCGTATATATTCAGGCCTGACTTATGGCTAAACCAAATCATTTATATCAAAGTTTAACATGAGATTTCAATTGCATCACAGATTGTTTTATATAATGACCTGCACTTGAACCAAACTCAACGGAATTCTGGATCATCAAATATTTCATTTTTATAAAATGAGTTTCATTTCGTATGACAAAAGCCCAATTTTTAGAATAAATCATCAAAACTATACTGTACATCAGCAATGCAGTTATTGCAAATTTGCAACTCAGAATTGAAGCAAGAAAAAATGAAGTTACGTCTTTTAACGTATTGAACATGGATACTGCACACAAACTACAGATTGAGCATAGTATCAAGAGTTATTGCACACAAATCGCAAGTCTTCAAAATCGACGCTAGAGTCCTGCACTTTCAATATCATATGCACAGTGGCGTAGCATCCACCCCCGCAGCGGTCGCGGGAGGGCCCACAGCGCAAAGGGGCCCAAGCGGTTAGAATTTAGGGGCACGAGAGTCTTGCTTCGCCACTGCATATGCAGTATATGTATCGGCTAATTCGGCCAATAAGCTGGTATTCGTTCTCCTGGAAGTGGGAATTATAACGCCAGAAAGCGATGGGAATGCAACAAGAAACGGAGCAAGTGTCACCGACAATTGGAAACCACTCGGCCACGCATGAATGTCGTCAATGGTAGCACAGTTACAGTACTAGCCTTTTAACTACAGTAGCCAATCACAATCGCCCCAATCTTGGTGAGCATTTTCGCATTGCACTCAGGTGAAACTGAGTCGTGCATTGAAAATATTACGAATGGGAAACTTCAGTTTCATCTATCACACTAATGAGATAATGACTGCTTTCTATAATAAATCCTTGTTTCAGAGTATTGTGTGCTATTACTAGGGCTGGGAATGGTTATCTGATTAATCGATTTTAGTTGGTTAACGGTTACGATTTATTTCAACCGTTAACTGACACCTCAGGTACAAATCATCTTTATAATGTACAATTTCCACAAAAATGATTACGTCATCGCTAATTTATCTCCTGTGGCGTTTAATTGAGAATAATAACCCGAATATATTGTCAAAATATATTGTTCACGATTTTATTGCAAAATCGTATATTCAATGTCATCCAAAAAGTGCGCAGTTGATTCTTTTTTTTATGATATCTCAAAGTAGAATTTGCAAGTAAAGCACTAAATATTTGTCACATAAATTACATTTAATACTGGAATCTGGTTGTACTTATATGCTTCAATATATCCGGAGCACGCTGCAGCAGAGCTCTCTTGGATCAGAGCGATCACGAAACTAACGCGAAATTGCTTTGTAACCATTGTGACGTAACAAACTAAAATCATAAATCACTACGTCAAACGTCACGCTGCGGTTAACCGGTTAATTTTACCCGATTTACGGTTAAAGCGTTTTCCCTGAAATTTCCAGCCCTTGCTATAACTCGTATGTGCCATGAATATATCACACATATCTGAAAAATTAGCGGAGTTCTAATATCAATACATTTGCAAGAGGTACATAAAACTCAAATTTGAGTCGTGCTTAGAAAAGTTAAAGAACCACTGGCTTAAAGTACTTCACACGTCGTGTCGACCGAAACCTGCGGACTTTTGCTATATAAAAATTAGAATAATATTTGGGGTATTTTAGATTACTCCCACATCCTTCGTGTATGCTAACATTAATTGATCCGTATTTGATTTTGAAAGTAGAATAGTATAAATCGTTTCATTCCATCACATAGCTGTAGATCACAAGCTCTCGCCAGGTCCTCCTATATGATTAAATATATTTATATATTCAGGGTGTCCAATAATTCGCACGATTTTATAGTAATAACAATTAAAAGTTTCGCCTGGTTTTAAAGAAATAACAATTGTAAGTTTAATTAAATTTTATTGTATGATAGATGAGAAATACGAGCACAAAAGAACTATTAATAAACAAAGACAAGGAAATTTTTTAATTGGTATTACTATAAAATCGGGAAAAACTTTATGGACACCCCGTATATAGGAATAAAACAAAGTAGAATTTCCAATCAAAAAAATCTAAAGATTCTTGGATAATAAAAATGAATGTTTTTTTTTTCAATTTTATTTTTCAATCAAAATACTGTTGTTTGTTTTAAACGTAAAATAAACATGTAATTGAACAATTTTATTTACGTGTATTGAACAAAATTTAAAGTCTCAGAATCTCTCTCGAGAAGGACAATCAGATTGTATTGTATTTTTTACGTGATTTTCTTTTCATTTTCTGACAACTCTTCCTCATCACTTCGGTGGTCGCTGAGTTTCTGAAAACAACTGCAGTTGGGTATTTTCTCTCTTTGCACTTCTGATGGTACTCATGTAGTATGCGAACCAGAAGGCGGACACCGGAACCAACGTGGTATGTGCATCAGATTAGGCCATAATCCCCGAACACGTAATAGAACTAGGATAGGGAAAATTAAAATAAAATTATGGCCTAACCCTAACCTGGTACACATACTACGTTCCGGTGTCCGCCATCTTGGTTCGCATACTACGGGAGTACCCTTCTGATAGCACATGATCCAACTTACATTACTATTACATTACAAACAGTAACCAGGATATAATTATACGCATTACGATAATATTCTTTAAACCAAAACTGCACTGAAACAATCGCATGGTTTTCGCATAAAATATGTGTCATGGTCCAAACGATATTACGATATATATATATATTGAGTTGTTGAAGCAACAGTTTAATTGTAGTTTAAAAAATACCTCTCCAGGTTTACGGAACATCATTTCCTTCGCCATTTTAAGTATAATCAAAGACCAGTATACATGTAAACACTGGAGAATGCATAGAAGTCCAGTAAAGAGGTAATTTGCTGTGTATGGTCCTATTATTGAAACGCTCGTGACGGCGTTATGAATTATCCTGTGAAATAAACAAAAAAGGAAAAAAAATTTTGTGATTTACAAACACATATTGTATCTAAAGTCGAATCTAATCAGACATAAATAAGCTGTAATTTGTGACTAACTAACTTATTCGTAGGGGGGAATTCAAAATGACGAGAAAGAGGAAAAAATTGAAATTAAAATCGAATATTGTCCTTGTTAACTCTTTGAACTCTGAATCCCCAGAACGATGCTACTCTCTCACCCTGACCTCCCACGGCGTCGCATCGATTCGACGCGTTAAAAAATTGTAATATCCCTAATTTTAAATCAAAATAACTTCTAAACCATTAGATATCAGATGGTCTGTAATATATCATATAAAAGCTTATCTAGTCTTTTATTTTTAACTGGCATTATTTTTCACGAGATGTTTTGATGAGATGTGTAAGCCTATTTGTAGCCCCATCTACTATTTTTTTGTATTTTGGTAATATTTAATACATTTCTTAGAAATGTATCATCAATATAAGTACAATTTTGAAAAGTATACAAAATTACCTTTCGGAGAATATACGTATGACATTCTTAACATACGCATAACTCATTCTATTGCAGAATTTGTACTATCGATTCAAATGGTTTGCGAACAAAATTTATCAACTATTTGACGCCAAGTTTGCGTAAGGACGCAAAGGGCGACGACGACATTGTCGTGATAACGTTCATGCGAAGTATCGTGCGTAACTCTTTGCGTGAGGTATATTGCGCAATTGCACATCTGGTCGTTCACAGCTTGAGGGCAGATTGTGGCTTCATTGCATTAGTATCATATCCACGGCCGCAGATAAAACCCTTTCAGACGAATTTTGATCGAACATAGTAAAATTGCTAGAATATAAAGGCCATTTTATATACGTTTACTATTTGGATATGGGACGAAAATGAATGGCCAAAACGAAATATTTGATCCTCATGAATTTATGAGGTTCCGCCGGAAACATCAAGGCTAATTATTCACCGTTGGATATCATGAAGATGAATAAAAAAAAACTGATAACGGGTACACGGAAGACATGGTGGCACCAGTAGCTCACCTGGTCAGTGTTTTACATTTTGCAGCCTCATTAGATTTTCGAAATTACTGCATATACGCTACATTCCTGATATCGCTATATTTACAATGGATTTTAAACGAAAGCTTTGTCCAGATGAAATATTGGATAGTATTCATCTATCGGAAGAAGAAAATATGGCACAATAAAACTCAGCAATAGCGCTAAACAATGCATCCATCGATATGTTCCATCATTCTGTTTTTAAAAATCCTTATTTTGGCTATTCGTATTTTTCATATCTTTATGCAATTAAAACGGCAATAACACTGCGTATTGTGTGTTTTAGTCGAACCGATGTAATGCGTAAATTTCCCCGTGTATCGTTTACAAGTCGTAAGTCGCTTCACGAGTACGAACTTAAGTAAATGACGTTACGAGCATGCGAGGAAAAGTGTTTCTCGTATGAAACGTAAACGTGCTACGTGCCAACGTAATTGCTTAACGTCGCTGCGTAACGGCGTAAATGTGTTAGGTCGTTATTTACGTCACCTTGACGTCGCCTCGATCTTGCGACAAACGAAATCACGAATAAAAATGCTTCTAAAATTTGAATGGTGCAACATAAGTTCAATCTAATGGTATCACTGGAAAGCTATCTTCAAATTCTACAAATTTTGTCGATAATGTACTAGGTTTAATCGAAAACAAATTTTAGTTTTGTCAATTAGATTTGAGCAATTTTCAGAAGTTTTTTATGCTTTTTAATTTTGCCAATTTTTATAAGATGATCACAATATTTTATCTCAATTTTAAAATTATACTTAGTCCTGTAGATTATCTTTCACACGATGTAAAACTTGTCTAAATATAATAAATGGTTCGCGAGATATGAGGTTTCAAAGCTGCATACCTCTTACGGGATGCGAAAGCCGCTAAACCGGCTTTCAGCGTCAGAAGACTTTCTCGGGAAAGCCGGTTTAGCGGCTTTCAGGGTTCAAAGAGTTAAATTAAATTAAGTGAATTTGGATATTTTGTTAAATCATACTTTATTAAAAAAGCAATTTTTTCTATACGACCCTAGTCCACTCGAGATTTAGAAAAATACAAATCGAAAAATTTAAAAAAGAATGTGAAACTTCTCATTCTCACCACCTATTGTGTTGTTAAATAGGCATGTATCAATCGTCTATTTATGAATATTCTTACCAAAATGGAAATATAGCAAGTCTCGTCACTAAGAAAGTGATTGCAAAACATAGAAAGGTAAAATCCGCCATTTTTGATTTTTGAATATATGCTAGGCATTTTGCCCCTTGTAACAACAAGTCTGCGGCATCATGGAGAACCATAGTCAGTGCCCCTATTCTGACAAAGTTCAAGGCGTATGAGAATATTATGAGTATCAATGTTGCAATATGATGTATCATCTGTTCCCAAAAGTCCTAAAAAAGAAAATAGGAATTCAATAAACCAATTACATGGATTCGACAACTATATTCAATACAAAATTCAAAGTAAAATTTCGTGCTAATAATCATTCGAAATGTCAAATTTCAAGTATTAAAGGTGCCATAAACATTGAATGTGGCGAGTAATGCTTACAACAGTGGTTCCCAGCCGCTGATCCAGTGCCGTTCCGCGAAACTTTTTTGCCGGTCAGCGAAAAATTTCGTTGTTTTCCTCCGACTCAATCGCTTTACCGAAGCCGAAGTTGCGATGGTTTATTACGCAATTTCTCTTCCGCCGCGATATTGCTGTTTGATAAGTGCGGTATTAATGACCCGGTGACGTCTTGGCTCCGAGTAATCACGCTTTTCCGGTTCCGATTCATCGCAAAAGCGCTCCGTCAAATCTCGCAAGATTCAGAAACCTAAAGAGCGGCGTGTTTTTTCAATTCTGCATGCTATTCCTGCTTAATATGACCATCCAAATAAAAGGTTTTAAGCCTGGTGCCAAATTGCCGACGACTTTGTTACTATGTTATTATTTTCTGTTCCACTCATTTCAATTTTTTGCCGGTCCTGGAGTATATTTTATTTAATTTTACCGGTCCGCCAGGGTAGAAAGGTTGGGAACCACTGGCTTACAACGTAAACAGACTAGAGATGTACCGATGTATCGGTATCGGCAATATCGGCCATTTTTACGGTATCGGCCATGTATCGGTGAGATTAAGGCCGATATTTCCGATATATTTACCTTTTTGAGAATGTTTTGAAGATAAGTTGGAATACTACTTTTTAATTTATTTTTTGTCTGGAGAGATCGTGAGCTATGAGCCATACATGTCCCCACCCCCGCGAGAGAATAGGATTCACGTGTTTTTAGCTATTTATCAGCTCAACTAATTTGGCTATTTTCGCTGTCAAATTTTTATATTGACATTTTTAATATTACATAGTAATCATGAAGAAATATATCAACACGGCACATAACAAAAAGCAATTAGACGCCCAGTTTTAAATCATACAGTGGAATTGGGGTCCTTATTAACGGCACATGGACTTTTGGCACGGGTATAAATTCTGACTGTTTGTCGTCAAGTACGAGTGTCATTTAGTCCGTCGACATCAATAAACTAAATTCCGACACAATTATCTCTCTACGCAAGTATTAATTTTGTTTAACTACACAATTTCTTTATAGATATATTGACATGACCGCCTAGCCTTAGACTGTCACAAAATATATGATAGCAATTGTATAATAATATAAAATAGTAAAGTAAAAAAACGTCCTCGACGGTTATAGGTAGGCCTTCTTTTGGTCGGTGCTGATTGATATTCTTTCATGTGGGCTTTGACTTCCTTATTGCGTCGACGATTACGATTAGCCACGAAATGAAATATTTGAAAAATGCTTTCAATTTGATCGTAGGACGGCGGCTCTAGAATGTGTGGGTGATATTCGATATTCTTTTAAACACGAATACCGATTTTTGAAGGTCGCGATATTAACATTAAATTCATATTGGACATCCCGGCTTATGGGTTTCAATTGAACACCGAGATTACTAGCGTTACTGTACAATGTATCTTAATCAGTTAAAGCATATGGATACCAAACATTAATTTCATATTATGCGACATATATATCTTTTTTTTCGATCTGAAATATTTTGTACTATGAACAACGCTCAAAGACCATTGTTTTAACCCGTCTGCCCTACACAACACACCTAATTAAGTAATATTTACATAGTATCGGTATCGGAATATCGGTAATATCGGCCTTTTTGTAGTATCGGCGTATCGGTATCGGCGTTTTTAGCTGGTATCGGATCGGTATCGGCGACAAAAGTGGTATCGGTACATCTCTAAAACAGACTAGTGTTTTGTATACCACAGCTATGAAATCGATGTGAAATAAACGTAGTAACACTTAGAATGAGGTGTATGATTCCCTACCTTTCTTATAATATCATTCGGTGCTGAAATCACGAGTGATGCATAATATCCTGATTCAATAACGAAATGAATGTAAATAGCAGCATCGAGATTCTGATGTGGGAAATTATCCCAGCATTTAGCGTGATCCCAAAACCAAGGTTCCTGTAGGAGGAACAAACATTGTCAATCCAGTGGCAAAGTATTATTGCATGCATCGATCAATGACAGATATATACAAAATTTGTAACAAAAATTGGAATTAATTTAAACAACAGTTTACCTTCCAAAGATATGACATCCCATAAATAAATATTGCGGTGTAATATGTGAATTTCCAGCTGTAAGAAATTGTAAAACCGTTGATTTGTCACCATATTTATTGATCATCAAAACTTAAAAAATGCTTCGAATTTATTTTATTAGGTCTTACTTACTTGTAATATGGCATATAGAGGATGGGTCAAATATAGTGTAATATTTAAAAGCAATCAATAAATAAAAGTATGGGTGATCCCGAAGTATGCGAACCAAGATGGCGGACATCGGAACGTAACACCGGTAACAGGTTAGGGTTAGGCGATAATTTTTTTCCAATTTTCCTTATTTTAGTCCTATTATCAGTTCGAAGACTAGCCAAGAGCCTCCCGTAGTATTTATACCTAAAATTATGGCCTAACCCTAATCTAGTACACATATTACATTCCGATGTCCGCCATCTTGGTTCGCATACTTCGGGAGCCCCAAAGTATGTAATAATAACTGTTACCTATGCTTTAGGCCCACGCTGTATATTGACTCGATATTGCTTTGATAACAAGCACTACTGTTATACATAGGTAATAGTAGTAACAAAATGGTTAGTGTGACAAATATACAGTCAAACGATTCACACTTTTCAATACTTTGTTCTGATAATATGTTTTACAGTCTTTATGAATAACCTCGTTTCGATGAACTTCGTTTGTACGCTCGGTTTGTCATTATTTCTTCTGCGCCGGAACCAATTACGTATGTCCGATTGATGCATGTTTAATCGTTTTGATAATTCTTCGATATTCGACTAAAATGATAATGCTTCAAAGATAAATTCGGATTACCATGCTGAAATTTCAATCAAGATTAAGGACATATATGCCCGTGATCGTCCTAATTAGGAATAATGCAATATAGTCAAAATCACAATAAGCAAGCTCATTTAAAATGGCAAACTGTTCAGGGCACGTGGAAATCTAAAGTCTGATTTCGGACCGCAGTTTACATTCAAAAAGGTGTCAATAATAATATACGGTTTCTGTTATTCCCTAGGAATTCTTGTCAAACAAATCCAGTACAAGTATTTTAGACTAATCTAACTAATCAAAAATACATTTGTCTTTATACCTTCGTAGGATGTACTGATTTTTTCCTATAAAAAGTTTCCAACGTCCTATTGGGTATTTGAGATTTCATCTTTATTTCATCAGAAAGCTCATTGTACTTTGCAAACGGGAGGGCAACGAATCTGCAATATTTTATTTAACGTTTAGAATATAGAAATGGTGATCGATAAGCTCTCTGCTAATCCCACAGCCACAACTAACTTTTAGAACAACCCATCACTCATTATAGTCGCCATAAAGTAAATAAATATTTTATGTACATGATTTTTTGCGTCTTCCCGCCAGTCTCTACATTCACCGTAACATTTACCTTTCGAATAAATATCTTATTAACAGCATTGCGAGTGCAAAACATGGCACAAACAACATATCTCTTGGTTTTGGGTATGATGTACCTTCATTATCTTCAAAATCATCGAAAGATATACCATCTGGAAGCCAGAATGAACTTTTCCAAAACCATTCTGAAAATTTCCACATTTGTTCTTTTTTGTGCAAAGCGACAAAAGATATATTTTATACGCCTAACTGTAAAATAAATTTGGTAAGAATTGTCTACGTTATTGCACAAACAAATTATTTCCTAGAAATAAAATAATGTATTTTCCGTTTAGGTTTTGGAAATAAATGAAAAATAGTAGTCAATATTTAATTGTTGCTTGAAGAAGTTTACCCTGTAGCGTAGATGGTCTCAACCGGACCTCCTAATTTGTAGAATTACAATCGGTCTTTCACCGGCTGCGGCCATCGAACCGGTAAACTTGCAACAAACTGTTGAGTGAACAGACGTTTCAAAACATAAATATTGTGACGAACTTTAACATGACCGACTTTTGTTCAAATCAATTTCCTGTGCAAAACAAATCAATACTTGTATAGTTCATATTGTATATATCCTTCAAAATTTCTACGAATTTCGCCATATTAAACTAAGGCCCAGTAGTGGAATTTTGGTACAAATATATCTCTACGCAGACGACAGCGTGTTATATAGGAGATTGGATGTCCCTATCTGCGTGTCCTTACTCGCGTATTATTATACACGCGTTAGCGGAGTAAAACCCCAACTGACTTCTCAGAGGTCAATAAGCCCACAATATATTGTAATGCGAAATGTTCGTATATTGTAAAGTTGCAAGATCGAATTGAATCCAAACAGATATATTCAGTGGTGATATTCGATTTTTTTTGTCAGCCGGTTCCATCACAAAAGTCATATTTTTCACCCGGTTCTGTTACAAAAAGTCATTGACAGTAGCCAGTAATGCTAACCGGTTTGCTAATCTCATGAAATTCGGTAAGACGGTTCTATAGAACCGGTGTGAACCGGCTGAATCCCACCGCTGCATATATTGAAATATACACTTACATCTTAATACCAGCTGTACGATTGAAATCCAAATCAGCAAGCAACAAAAAACGTGAAAAACACTGAATCTTTAACTCTTAAATGGGGGCCGGAAACACGTCACAAACTGATCGATATATAGAACGGTCGATAACAAAGAAGCATTGCTAGGACTTTTTGCGATAAATCATAATCAGGGGAATAGGGCACTGACCATCGCATACTATTAACACAAAGGGGTTAAATAACATTAAAATCCATAGTTACATTCCACATTCGCTATAGTGTTAGTACACTATGTACAATTCTCACAGAACATTTGCATTACCAGTAAGCATTATAACCCGGGAAAAAATTCGACGTGAATATTTTCAGTGGAACATATAATTTACTATGAGCATGTATGAATCAGAGCTTGTTTTTTAATAATGAAAAATAAGATATAAAAACGAAAAAGCATTGTCAATCTATGGCGAGCAACTAAACTATCTTTCAGCACTCTAGAACCGATATGCCTAGTATGTAGTTGTTTGATTTAAGATATAAAGCAAGGTTATAAAGCAACGACACCCAAGTCTTGGGGCCAGTGGTTCTCAACCTTTTTTCTTCCGTGACCCACTTCCGTTGCACAAAAAATTCTGTGGCTCATTAACTTTCTCGTGCAAAGGATAAACTACAAGGAAAGCAAAAAAATCTTTATACAAAATTAGACTGTTCTATTCATAATTAATATAATAATTACCATGTAGTAGCTCAGTACAGTATTATCATCCATTGCTACTACAATCAAAGTTTAACTATAGTTAACTCTTGTAATTTTTTATTATGTTTTTGGCCCAGCAATGGGCTAGACAATTTTGCATTTTTCTTAAAAGGGTTCCACTTTAGCGTACGCTCAACCATAGTCCGATTAATATTAGCACATCTGGACGTTATTATAAGAAATGTATCTATTGGAGTTTCCAAGTGTGTCTCAAACCACCTGAGAATAACATATTTGCTTTAGACTGCAATACTCTTCAATCTAACCAAAGTAACGAAAAAATAGGAATCATATCCTGATTATATATACACATACACTACATAATTTCACTCTGTCATTTATACATTTTATACTTTCAATTTAAATAATTACACTGTCGATAAGTCATTAAATACAAGTCTCAATTTTTGCACCGAGAGTTGCCAAATCAGATCTTTCAAGTTAGTTAATTTTTGTCGCACTTCATTCTGTTATATCTACCTACTACCACACACGAGTTGACGCGTTGAATGCAAGTAAGAATGGATAAAATCAATCTTTTTACAAGTAGGGAAATTGCACAAGACGCCGCCAGTATCCGCTCGTCTCGTTTTTTTTTTCTAGTTTCTTTACAACTTCACGGAAATGCTAGACGCGAAGCTCAATACAGTCAATGGTGTATGAACGTACAACCAACACAATACGCTATTACTTGAATTAAAAAGTGCCCCCTTCAATTAAAATAAAACAGCAACATTTTGGGTTATTTAACGCGTCCATAGTCTCGAAAAAAAATGGCCATCTAGCGGCTTCAAGTCTAAGCATCTCCATACACTGAGAACTTGTAATCGATTTTCTCAACAAAAAAACAAGAAATCAGCTTAACGTTCCATATGTACACTTCTTGTCAAAACATTTAAAAATAGGATGTTTAGATACCTACCTACCTACCTACTGACATACAGTATTCATAAAGTTACGTAGTTTTAAACAGACCTGAAGTACGTGTACCGATAATGAATAAAACAAATTCTCCATCATTTTTGTTATGGCAAGATTATTCTGATGAATCAATATTTCGACTCACAATCGGGTTTTTAGTAATTATTACAGTGTTTGCATGCGGTTGTCTGGTTATAGTGCATGGGTTCCCAAACTTTTATGGCTCGGGGTCCCCCTCCAGAAGCTTCCTGCACCCTATTCACCATTCCAAAAATATTATGTATAATACTACTTTTATGGTATATATAAACCAAAGGCTAAAAAATCAAAGGTGTTTAATTTACAATCAATAACAAAGGTTAAAATTAGAGAATTCGCGAAGCACATAGGCTACCACTATATTGTTATTTTGTATAATCAACTGTATAATATATTTCATGTTGTTGTGAAACAATTATGTCATTTCTGGTTTACACACAGTGTGGCTTTGAGACGACATCTTAGTTCTGATGTTTGTGCCTGATTACAAGTGAGGGTCATGCAATATTTTCATGGATGCGACCTGGCGGTTTGAATTAGTTCTACGTCACTAATCAATTCATAATTACCATGTATTAGAGTGGCATCTTCGACTGTATGTTGCCCCTGAAAAAGTTTTAATCCCCCTTTCCCATATCATTTAAGTCCGGTTTGCTGTTGTAGAATCGTGATTTCTAATTACATCCAACATGATATAGCACGAAAAATACTACTGTATCTGCAAAATAACTCTAATGCTAAGAGACTTGTTCTTCTTTACCCAAATATTTAATAGCTTCTTTATAGCGAAAAATACACACTGTTGAGAAATTGTAGATTTTTGGATAATGTATGTCGTTTCTGACTTGAGAATCAAATCACAGTGAGAATCAAAGTGTTAATTGGCTAGTAAGACCACGGATATTGCTACAATTATCGGTAGCCACCGTCGAAAGCCCGCGAAGTTAATATTAAGTCGCCACACACTTTTTGTTATCGTGTTGCGAATTAATTCTAATCGAAGTTATGCAAATACGTCGAAACACAGCGAAATAAAATAATAGCGACAACCCCCAGAGCGCCACGGGGAAGGTGCGAAAAGAGAATGCATCTACAAAACGCGGTTTAATTTACCTCTTTGTGGGGGATAGGCTATAGCCTATTGGATACGAATAATTTTGTAACATTGGTTTGTGTACTAGCATTACACTTACAGGGGTATATGTCCTACAATTGGTGTAACTCATCCAGGTATTACCGTCAGAATTATATTGACTTGTTTTCCGCCTTAACTGTTCACGTCCTTAAAACTTGAAAAAAAAAAAGATATTTTTCGTGTCGCGAGTGTTTCATTATCAGAGGTCTTTAAAATGTCCCCCTCCCTGACGGGGTTCGTTCTTGGAATGTCGTAAACGCAGTCAACCTAGTCTTTTTTTCTCTAAACATCAGACCATGGGTGAACTGTACATCATTATACAGACGGCCGCATTACGTTTTTGTAAAAGCACTGCGGCCGCCAATAAGATAGATCGCCCTTTATGAGCTATATTTAATTATAGAATTGGTTTTTATTGATATATCTCATAGAATTGCGCCTAAAACTGTGTTCATGAATAGTCAAAATTTGAACGAGTTTACTGAGTAAAAGTTTCCAAAAGATGTTGAATATTTTATCGAATGGATCAATTTTCAACGAATACTGTCAAGATTTATTGCTGTCAGGATTAGACCGAGGTTCAATGCACACAATAAACTTGATCCAAATATTCATCAGCCGGACGAACGGCCTTTATTTAACAGTATACACTAAGATTCAGCACGATATAATTACACAGTTATAAATAGACAGCAGTCCCAGACAAAGAAGACAGTGACAGTGACAAGCGTATTCACGCTGCACGTCACTTCTCGATTATTACGTCACAATCACTTTAATGAAAGTCAACGTAAACAAGTCTGTAAAATCATAATACTACAACAAATACTATATATTCGTATACTTTTAATCTACAGTCGGAGGGGAGACCAATGCACTAAGGGCCGATACTACCTATAAATTATTATAAGGACGGAAAAGTTGTTAACAACGCGACGTATTTTTCGTCGTAACTGCAGATATTGTTTTCCAGCGTTCATTTATCCCTGAGCAAGTACTCGAATGAGTTATATTTTCAACGTTTCTGCCTACCTCACGACTTGAGCTAATTCTTGCGCTAAAACAGGCGACGCGAAAGTCGTTGGGCTATCATAGATATTGAAGAATTTGGATTTCCGTGGAGACGATGATCACTTTCATCTACTTCACGACTTTTTGAATTATCATGATCATGAAATAAACTTTAAAAGTTCAGTTTCTTTATTTGACCTGTTATACCGAGACCAATAGGAAGTATACTAACTGCAAATAAAATTGAAATTCCTGCAAATGCGAATGAATATACACATGATCCACTCATATCAAAAAGCAGGCCGCCGATGATAGGCCCAGATGCAATTCCAACTCCATGCATAAATTCGAGATATCCAAATGCTGTGTTGAAAAGTTGTCGATCTGAAAGAAAAAATTGTAATATTTGAACGTACATTTTGCTCTCGTTTCCCCAAACGACATTTCCTTTAATCAAGGCGTATGTTCGAAACGTTGAAGGCGAAAACCTATTTATTCTGCAAGTAAATTTCAGTTATTTGCAACTTGACAAATCTCGCATATACTAAATTTCTTGAGTTGTTTAAATAGCGTTATATATTCAACTTAGACATTGAAGTCTTGTTATCTTGTTAAAATGGGACTATGAAATGCCGCTATCTTGCTGCATAGGATATGCACATATGCTTGATAGGATATGCTTGAAAAAGTTTTGTATCATTTTTTAAAGCAACATTATATTGACAACATTTTCAGCAGAATTGCTCATCCAATAGATATTGAAGAAATTGATAGGCATTTTATATCCATATATATAGAGTCATATTTACCAAGTTTTGTAACGAAAAATGCGTGTAATGCAACCGTTTATTTAAAAATCCATTTGAGTTTTTGGTAAATATAAAAACTTACCGTATACTTCATACACAAGTAGATGGTAATGTGAAAGCGATGCAAACAAAGATGCACTAAGCAAGCAGTAGATTAGTTGAAGAGTAAAGGTTTTGGCAAGAAGCGAAAATAATGCCAATGCACCGGCTGTTGCAAAACACGACAGGTACACCACAGAACATTTGATAAGTTTCATTTCCGCAATAATACCAATGAATATTCGAGAAAGTGAATTTATTCCAAATGCTGCGACCAATTGGGATGCTGAAAAAAACAAGCTTTATTAATGATTTGTAAAATGATTAATAATCAAGAATAGGGTTGCCAAACGTTTATCGTAATAGGTCATATCAATGGCGCATGCGTGGCGTTGAAGATAATTAAAGGAGTGAATCCGTCACACAAATTTTGACAGCCGATGTACAAATACAGAGGGTAGGATGGTATTGTGTGCTGAAATGTAACTCCTTATTTAGTGCCTACTTCGGATCCGTATGTGTCAGTTGCCACTAGGGCTGGGCATTTTCGAAACACTGGTGTTTCGAAATCGAAACGAAACACACGTTTGTCACAAACAGTAAAACATGTCCAATATTACCAATCGAATTTAATGTATAATGGACAATTGCACATATTTTCTAGAATTAAAACCACAAAAAGGAAGCACTGGGGGATAATTCGAGAGCATGAAACGATAATGATAATTCCACGAAGGTTTCTGCTTAATGACAAAGCAGTGACCAAATGGCAACAGAATAATACGAATTACGTCATTGTTTGAGATGGGGCTCACAAGCAGTATAGCATATGGGGCCTCTCAACGTATCAATGCTCCTTTTCTAGTTTATCCGTTGCCACAGATCCTCGTGACCCTGTACATTCTAAAAAATATTTTCGATCATTGATTGAAATTAGTTCTTTTGGCTCTAGGAAAATAAATACTTGATAAACATTACGTGGTGTATATTGACAAGCTCAGAAAAAAGTACAACTAGGCGCCCAGAGAAATGTTTTAAATTATACAGTAAAATTAACATTAACTCAGATTTTTGACACAGCTAATTTCTGACTGTTTATCGTCAGCGTGACATCGACATCGTTAAGCTAAATTCCGCCACGATTCCCTCCCACAGATATTGACTGTTGTGCTTCTGGGGGGACATAATTTTTATTTTGCTTTTAACGCGATCATCATCATAATCAAAGGAGTGAACCCGATTCACAAATTTTCATCCGCCAATGACGGAGAATTAGGACTAAAAATCGTGTTTTATTTTTCTTCAAGTCAGCTTTGATTTAAATATTCCATGTCGACTGTTATGCTTTTATTCTTGTTCTTGAATTAATACCGCACACTTGGAATGAACGATATCATTATTAACGACGCCAGTCTAACAATAAAATCTGCGATAGATACTAAATAATATTTAAGAGCTAGTTCATACGGGGTTAATGCAAGAAATGTTCGCTCACTATATTTAGTGCCGCGGTAACCCAGACTATCTCGACGATGTTGCAATATACGATAATAATTGTATAATATTTTCAATCAAAAACTTTCTCGACATGTTGCAAGTCGGCGCTGACTTAAATCATTTCATGTCGGCAGTAATTTATTGCGCGTCGCAAAGAGTGTATTCGATTACGATAAAACATAAATATGAAATGATTTCAATCGAAACGTGGACGGCGGCGCTAGGACTTGTGCGCGATATGCAATATTCCTATTAACACTAAAAACGATATTTGAGAGTCGCAATATTCGATTAAATTAAGATATTAAATTCGAATTGGACATCGCTGAATGATACCTTCGTCCTTCACAAATTTCAGATTGCATTCGCTATGACGTCATAATATCCGTTTCGGAAGTCGAAACAGCGTCGTTCGACATATCAGTGTTTCGAAACGAATCGAAACATTGTCTCGAAACGCCCAGCCCTGGTTGCCACACGGGTGATTTACATGGAAGTGTTATTGTAACTTACTATTAATATGAATAGTATCATAGTAATAGTATCATTCATATTAATAGTAAGTTACATTCTCTGAAAATAGGTCACTTTATGATTCATAGTTACAATCCACATTCGCTACAAGTTGCCACAAGGATGCTTGACATGTATCATAATAATAGTCTTATAAAGAAAAGATAAATAAGAATAGCATAATCTCTTTCCACGAAACAGCAATCCTGGAGGCTTACTAATATTAAAAACAGTGGTTTAACGTCGTCAATTTTTCTGATCTTATGTCTTGTGTCGACTGACCGACTTATCTCTGATCATAAAGTTAATTTAAAGTGAACCACTCATAAACGACTGGAGGATTTTGATTTTTGCAATTGACGAAAAAAGTGTTATTTTAAAACGGGTTACCTTGTTCTATCGACATATCCAGATCATATGATGCTCTCAGTGGAGTCAATCCAAGTACTAGGTAGTAGCCCATGTATAAAGTTACGTTGTGGAGAACCATAATATAGAAACTCCACAAACTTAGCAACGTTTTAGAAATTTGTAGAAATGACATCTTTGTTGAAAAATCTGCTTCATATTTTTCTGCTACAATGTTAACCAAAGTTGAAATCTCAGTGGTATCAGAATGAATATGTTCTACATTTTTGTCAAAATAGGCAACATTATTTGATAGTTTTGCATTGTCATTATCGCCCGTTTCTTCACACATACTTTCTTTTATTTGTTCATCTTGTTGAGATTCAGCATTTGTAGGATGTGATACATGTTCTTGTATTATGTTGTGAGTATTTGATTCCACTTCTATTGATGGATTTGCATTCGGCATCTCAGAACAACTCGATTCTTCTTTGCACGCAGTTGAATACTCGATGGAAGTATTACTTGCATCCGAAATTTTATCTTTTTTGTCAAAAAAATATGACTTTGGAAACGGAGGAGTAGCAGATGCCGGATACAGCAAAAGACCGCAAACTAATAAATTTCCAAAAATCCCAGCCACTACTATCATAGCACCTCTCCATGTGTATTTAACAATTAGTACTTCAAACAAAAGGGGGAAAATTAACCCGCCAACACCGTATCCGCTAGTGACAATTGCGAAAGCAAGACCTTGGTGATCGGTAAAGTGTTCACTCACAGCGTTTACATATGAAACATGGCACAACGATGACCCAAAACCTGTAAAACAAACTTTTTTATTACCCAGGCAATGACATGACACATCTTGATCAATTATCTGATATAAGTCAGCAACGAAGAGGCTTTTAAAAATGAAAAGGACTTATGTAACAGACGCTATTGTTGGAAAATTATTCAATATATTCTATATTCACTATGATGTTCACAAAAAGAAACAAACCTCCCAAGATACTGTAAGCGAAAAACATCTGAAGCAGGGTAGTTACGTGTGCTGAGCAAATAAATGAAATCATCATCATTACTCCTCCGATAACATGAGTCCATCTATATCCACTTTTTTCCACAAAGAAACTTCCTAGTGGACCTGGAAACAAATGATGCTTAGATTAAGATAATTTTTTTTTACAGATCAGTCTTCAAGAATAATTAGGTTAGGATTTACATATTTATTCCGGGAGGAAAGCCGATAAGACGGCTTAATCATATGTCGAACCACGACCTCTTGTCCGGTTAACAGTCCAGGAGGGTATGGGGTTAGTTAACCAGTTACTTTCCGGAAGCATGGACGTAACCGACCAGCGGTTACGTGAATCGACGGCGAGGAGTTCAGCAGTCTTCTCGCACATAATCATCCCCGCATGAGATTCTTATGTGCGAGAGCATTGCTGGACTCTTGGCCTTAAGAACGATATTGATAAATCTCATCCACAAGTATGACTAAAATCAATATTGCAATAAATTTGCCAATTTGTAGCGATCGCCGCTCCATTTTTGTCAATTTATACTTCAAATTAATATAATTAATTAATATTTATGTATTTATTATAACGATTTCGAAATTTTGTGAGATTCGATATTGCTACATACATCCAATGGAAGAAAGTGCAGCCCCACAACTGGTCACGGTCGCAATGGCAGCTCCAGATGCAGAGAATTCATCTTTCCAGGGTAAAACGAAAGTTCCAAATGCAAAGAAAACGGTTGAATTGGCCATCGTGGAGAAAAAGCAAGCGATAAGCACAACCCATCGCCACTTCCGCTGATCTCTGTTCATTCTACAAATGACTCTAATAATCTATGTTCTTCAAAATAATTCAGTTTAAAAGAAAGTAGAGTCCGCTATAACGAAGGACCATAAAGAAGTAGTGATCTTTTATGAGCTAAGCGGAAATCACGTATGCATGACGGAATATATTTGATATCAACTGAAACAAATTACAATCATTTCCATTGCCAAGCGTACATGGTAGTGAATTATAGCATAATTTGTGAATCGGTCGATTATTAGTGAATGTCAATTACCCTTACGGAATTACTCACAAATGAGAATATCAAATTTCATCCGAAAGGCTTAGCTATCCTCCGTCATCGAGTCATAATGGATTACTAATACGTACCGTTCAACACTTTCGTTTGGGGTAAAAACGAAGATCGTACACAGGGCATAAACATTGCGAAGACGGTGAAAAATAACACTGTACGAACTGGAATAAAGTGGGGGTGATACAACGCTATGCAACTGCCTTACGCTTGCTATTCCTCGTCCAATTCCAAATAACATACATCTACACAGATTTGACTATCAATACATGCGTTTATAGTTTATTTAGATGGCGATTTGCTGTAAAAGGCCGTTAAAACGTATACGTAGCCCCTAACGAATAACTCCTGTGCCTGTTAATTCATTTAAACCGCGCTCTTTCACTACAACAATGGGTAACTCGAGCTCAATTTCAGAATTCAGAGACGATTACACACGCACGCGGCGACTAAACTAAATGGGCGCAGTAATTGAGCATTTTGTGATAATGTAACGATATAGAAATACGCGATTGTGAAGCCAGCTATCATTAGGGAGGACGGTGTAGCCTAGTATAGGTATAGTATATCCAGTGCAGTTAATAAACTACAAATATCAACGTCTTGTTAATAAAACACGAGTATATAATACAATAATATATATATCAAAATGATTAAGAGTCCAACGCAAATACTGAGTTACAAGAACGTGATAAAAGCAATAAACCGCCTTAAGCATTTATTATTTTGCCAACAGAAACAAACATGTATGGAATCGAGAGTAACTCGCTTCCACTAAAACTAAATTAAGGTACTTAACTCAGGTAGTTTTTGCAGGCCAAATGAAGACTAACCATGCGTAACGAAATCCATTTGTCGCCTGACTGAGAGCAGATAGTTTCATATAAAACAGCCTTGCGCATGTTAGTATGAGACCGCGGATTCTGCCTGTCTTTCAAATGTAATCGTATTTTGGAGAATTGAAAAAATTGTCCAAGCCGGAAGCCTACACTGCATGATTACTCATGGTAATGTTGGCAAGCTAGACTAAGCTAGGTAATTGATAAACAGCTGTCATTTTAGCGCAGGGATCACCAAACTTCTTTGGCCGCGGGCCAGGCATGACTCAAACAGAGTTGAAACAGGCCGGACAAATATTTTTGTCAATGCATGCAACTATATAAATTCTACATTTTTGATGTCTTGAATATTAAATTCTATATATCGCAGAATATAGATCAAGAAGATCATAGCAAAATAAATATACAAGATTTTTAGACAACTATCCCTAGGTTAGCTGTTAGCAAAAAAAATTGCTGTCATGAATATACGCATGTAAGCAGTACAAAAGTTAACTTGTACTATAAGCGCAAAATGCACGTTTGACGTTCATTTTAGCACGAAAAACGAACACAGCAACAGTTTCGCCGAAAGTATGCGCCACGAGTGCAAACTTCGCAGAAAACGTTGCGTACCGGTAAAGAATTTTAGCCTATTTTATCACAGCTATTTCTAGACAATTTTTGATTACTGCAATTGAACTACAACTCTTCGTAAAGCAAAATGATGATTGACATACTAAAAATTCGGAATCACCACCAAAAACTGACGAATAGCATTCAAAAATCGCATATCGCAAATGAGGTATTGTTTGAAACCACGACTGAAAATCTGTCCCAGTGACAAAAGTGTCCGAGCGGATGCGAAAGGGTCTATTGCAGGGGTGAGCAATCTTTTTCGGCTCGCGTGCCATAATCGACTAAATTTAACGACAAAATTCTTCCGCGTGCCGACCAAAATTAAAAACAATGCTTTGCTACTTTCAAAGAAAAAATACATAATAATAAATCTTTTAAACATGTACAGACATGTTCACTATTCAGGTAAATACGAGTCTGATTAATAGATCTGATTAATTTTATATCATTTTCTATCAGTGAGACTTCTGCTGCTGCATTACCGCTGATAGAGATTTCACGCTGGGTTTATATTTTGTATCTTTCAAAGAAATACGCGAACTACCGGTTTCATCTTTCGGCTACTCCTGTTACGAGACTTAATAAATTACATAACTGAAAACAGAGATTCACAAATATATTTATATGAAAACATGGAGAGTAATGCCGTTGCAAAGTTTTTAGGACACGAAAAATTTTCGGGAATTGCATCCTCACGCAATAGTTAGTTTTCTGCACTTGTATTCCCTTCCCTAATCGCTTGTATTTCTTCCGAAATCAGTTTATAACAGTAAGTTAGCAAGCATTTCTAACCAACACGATGCACAACCTCATAAATCAAGCAAAGACGAATACAAAGGGTGGCACAGAAGAACTATATGTAAGAATATAGCCAAAGGGATGCTGCCCACTTCTCGACGAGAGCACACCCAGTTGTTAGGTCATAATATATTTCTTTGTGGCCATATGTCATGAAAGGACAAAACGTTCAAATAAATAACGGATTGTTAACAAACGATATTGAATAAACGAACACCTAGTTTCATCAGATACTTCAGTCATGAAAGTTTTTATCTGTAGAAGTCAGAAGAATGATATCGTTTCCGAGGCCTCGCTCGCGTGCCGAATAAATGAGCTCGCGTGCCAAATGTGGCACGCGTGCCAGGGGTTGCCCACCCCTGGTCTATTGTTACGTCAGTTTTTGCATCTAGCTGATTGGCCAATGTTACGAAATGAACAAGAAAATCGATGCTTGGAGAGGAAATACTAGACTCTAGAGCAGGGGTACGTACACAACTTGCGCCGTCGAAAATGAACTTTGTGACTCTGTCGTTGTGTATTTTAGCCGCAAAGCAAGCACAAGATAAAAATATATACAACGCCATTATTAATAATTATATTAATTATAATTAATTAACCAGAATTTAGATGAACTACATGTGGTGTCGTTGACGTGTTGGCTTCTTTGTACATCAAAAACTTATCCTTGAGTTAAAAATAACTCATAAAAAGACATTGACCTCACTGACAGCCGCACTGTTTATACCAAAAACTCAAGCTTATTGTAATAATTACGCATCGCTAAATATTACTTATCAAGCTACTGTTCTTTGCACTGCGTCTGCTACATTACATATCCGTACGAGACAAAGGCAAGTAATACTCAATGGGACAAAACGCGTAGTTAGTCGTTCACCAGGGAGTTGTGAATACCACCAACAAGTTTGAACTTGCTATACTTTAATTACTCAATTGTGAGAATTTATGCTGTGGGGACCTGTAGCAATGGTTGCTGAAGCCAACAAAGAAAATGCGATTCGGAGGATGTGGACAGACGCAACACGGAAAGCTACAAATCAAGTAGTGAATAATAAAGCAATCTTAAGGTAAATGAACTGACTGGTGTTACTGGGAGAGCTGATTACTTGCTGATAAAAATGAAGTTGCAAATCAATTTAGTGCATTTTTCTGATATTGAAAGCAAATTGGTCCCTACAATTAAACCCACATCAGGAGCCTCCACGCTCACCTCTTCAACACTCGCTCATCGCACCATCAACAGATATGGAAGATTATAATGTGATAAAACCTGAAAAATGGAATGGCTGTTGCAGTGGCGGCGCGTGGTCATTTTGACAACCGGGGCAAGCTACTGCGGGACCAAGTCACCCCCATCTACGGGGACAGGATGAGCGCTGTAAGTTTTCCCATCATTTTATGAGTATAAAAACCATTCCATCGGTAACAACCAATCGGCAAAAACAACAATTTTTAACGATAAGAAAGTGTTTTTAAAACCGGTCCAAGTCAAGGGATTAATAAATATAGACATAGTTTATTTTGAAACCTCTTTCAAAAGGAAAGGCAATATTTACCCAGATAAATACAATGACATATTAACAGAAACTTCGGGAAAGCAGACAAAACCTAAAATAAGGTTTAAAACGTTACTATGAAGAAAGGAAAGCTAATGCAAAGATAAGGACATGCGTCGCTCACTCATAGATATATATGCTGCTAGACTTCTACTGCTTGAACATATGTGCAACACGCCGCGGTTTCTTGGAAGCAAAATGCTCAATAACGCGCTGATTAAAGTCATGCATCCCAGAAATAACGTCTCTGTGAATGGATAAAACAGCCAAGGAATTTTATCTATCTTGCTTCATTGTGTTTCTGAGATACGTTTTAATACGCTTCAGCGTGCTGAATGTTCGCTCTGCGTCGGCGGAAGAAATAGGCGTCGTCAAAATGATTTCCAGAAATTTTGCAGACGCCGCAAAGGTAGTTACTAGAGTGTTATCTATGAGGAACCCATAGAGCGCGCAAGTTGATGTGATGTTCAAAAAAGTTTGATTGGTGTATATACATCGCAAATCATTTTCCAATTTACCCACGCTTATCATGGGGTAAAATTTGGAGACAGTAGCCGACAAATGGATGGGAAATTGACGTGCAAATTTTGAAAAATTTTTGGGGTTCATCAAAGAGAACGCGGCAAGGTGTTCAGTGCGCAGACGATCGCCTATTTGATTCACCAGAATGTCACAGCATTCCTTTGCAGACAAAATCAAACGCTGCGTTGTTTGCCCGCGGCGTAAAGAAGCACTCCATGTGTCGTCGTATTTTATTGTTTCCCGGATACGAGATACAGCATCGCAGAAGTCTGAAATACACGACTGCACAGACGCTCCATCCATTAGCCTTGACTGCAATGCGCCGTATAATACATCCACGTGATAGAATATTGTGGAGAAAAAAGCGAGAAAAAATGAAAACTCACCATCTTCTAGCAGACGCTTTAGACCTGCCGCCTCCCTCACAGAGCGTTCGTCCCAAACCGGAGAGCTCTGAATGCCATTGAAACACTCAATGAGCTCAGACCTAATTTCGGACACGCCCTGCACCACGCGTGATTGGAAGTTCCAACGTGTTGGTGCACAAGCTGGGAGACGGCGGCTACATATCTGGCGAAGGAGGTCAGAGCGCTTCGGCGAAACGGAAAAAAATGAAGAAAACCCCGAAACATTTGCAAAAAATATGCGGACGAGAGGTGTATCAAGACACATATTTTTAATAACGAGGTTAAATTGGTGTGCATAACAATGTAAAGAATGCGCATGAGGAAAATCTTCTTTTATATAAACTTGAACACCATGTTTCGACCCACTCATGACTGCCGCGCCGTCATAAGTTTGAGCTATCAATTTTGACTTCGCGTTGTAAGGCTGTAACACTTCTTTCAGTACAGCCGATATCCCGCAAGCTGTGCGATCAACGATTGGTACAAAGCTGTGAAATCTCTAGGTAGGTTTACCATCTTTCACAAACCGAAAAATCACAGCCAGTTGGGAAACGCACGTGATGTCAGTTGTCTCGTCAGACTGAATCGAAAGGAACTGGCAATTCTCAATTTCCAGAGCCAAATGTTGTAAATAACTTTTATACATTGAGTCGAGCAAATCATTTTGGATATCCTTTGATGTCCCTTTCGAAACAGTTGCGGCATCAAGATGATCTCCACCATATCCAAAAATACCCCTCTATTAGAAGAGCCAGCCCGTTCATCGTGCCCACGGAGGGACAGCTCGTGACAACCAATGAACTTCAAAACATCTATCAATCGACCGAGAACATGGCGGTTTTTTTTAAACGTTTTAGTTGTGCCGACGAATAGAAACCGCGCGTCCTTCATCCAACTGTGCTGCAATATTAACATTTCCGAATGTTCGGTATTTTACTGCATTGTCCAAATGCTCCATAGAAGATTGATGATCCCTGGCACGCTCGGAAAGATGTTTAAGATCTCTAAAACCAAATTTACACCAACGTGAGTCACGGGCGGTAGCAAAAAGTAGGCAATAAAAACAAAAAAGTGCATTTTTGTCCTCGCTGTAACACAACCATTCGTGTTTTTTATACCAAGTTTCTGCGCAGAATGTACGCCGACGCTTTCCTCCGTCATGGGATTGTTCCAGTGAACAATTTTTTGGTTGATAAGGCCCAAGACGTTGTACCTCTAATTTTTGTTCCAGCGGCAGCTGCGAAAACGGAGTGCGAAGTAGTGCATCAACCTTATTCATTATGAGGTCTAAGGCTAAGAAATGCGAAGCCGGAAAGAAGTGAGGAGCTCAAAAGGAATGTGGAAAATCGAAAGCAAATGGACTAAAGGTCTCTAACTGATTCAAATAGCGAAACAAGCGACAAAAACGAGGCGAGGAAACTATCAACTCTTCAAGCAACCAACGAACGAGAAGGAATGCGTGAATATGTCAACACATTGTTGTAAGAAACGTCGGCATTGTGTCGTCATAATTTCGGGGCTAGCCCCGATCGGCCCCGATGATTTAGTAAAAGAAACAGAAAACAAACGAGACAAACGCGGCGAGTGGAAGTTAAAGAAAGAATACGATATACGATGAGCAACCGGGGCAAAATCGGCGTCGCCCCGTCGACGTTCGGCGAAGGCTTTGCGAGCGAAAAATGAACCATGTCGGGAGAATATGGCTAGTGTAGACAGTCTGTGCAACCGATATTGAGGTATTTTTCGAATATTTTTCATTATACCGAAAAAACAACCGGGGCATTGCCCCTATTGACGCGCCGCCACTGGCATTACCACTGCATTCGGCGCGTCTCGATGAAAAACTAATACTGTTTTAGTGAAATGTTGTGACCAATTCTACCAAGAAATATTTCAATTTTTTCTTCACTACGGTTAAAACTCCGTACATCGAAATGCATCATGTCCATTGCAATTATCTGCCTGAGCTCGCCCTGAACGCCAGCCGGACCGCACGCACCCCTCTCCCGGCCCGTGAATATGCTTCCGCTTCTAATTCTGGCTCTCGGTCAATCAACTTTGGAAACCGCTGTATTAAAGTGTTGGTATATTTTCTAAAGTTAAAAAATGTAGCTAGACCCGATATTTCAGGAAAATTGCATATTGCTAATATGAAACTATCGAATTTTTACTACATCATCAGAAAAAGATGTTTTCAAAGAGGCTGTCATCGTAACGGTTTCAGTAGTCAAGATGAAATTACTTTTTTGGAGAAGAAAGTCAGGCATAGATATACGCCACAGCTATGCAAGGCCGAATTGTCAGGTGAACGGTTATCTGTAGGCGCTGCAGTAGTATGTGTACCATTATGGAGATAACTGATTTTGTTCGCCTACTTTACATCAAGTTGTGTAAAGGGACTGAAACCCACGGGCATTGAGTATATTCACTTGGCTAACACGAACAGTCCAAAAATTCGTAATAGAACTAAAATAAGGAAAATTGGAATAAAATTATGGCCTAACCCTAACCTGATACACATACCACTGGAGTACCTATCTGTAATGGATACCAATAATGTTGATTCTGTTGAACCAGGACCAGCTCTAGAAGCACAAATCTTCTTGGTATGGAAAATCTTTGGTCACCAAAGATCGCGCAGTTTACGAAATTTCTCTCATAACCTTCCAGAACAATTGGCTTATTATTATGCCTAAAATGAGCTTCATTTATTTTTACGATTTTACCCCTTGTTCGCGAGTGGACTTGCAGGAGACACTGATAGAATCTGATATGATCAAAGTTTATCAAAAACAGAATGCCAAAAGTGCGGTGGTGAACAAGAGAAAGCCAATGTAGTGGTATCTCATCACTCAAGAAAACTTGCACAAGTGTGACCAATACTAAGACAAATCTACAGTCAAGAAAATTATAAGATATTCTCGTCATTCGATTTTACAACTATTGATTAGATTTTAAGATCAACCACAACAAAAATCCTGAAAACCATCTAATATCCAAACACATATAACACAAGCTGAATCCAGGACTGCAACCAGTACTATATTTATTCATATTCACAATGTCCTTTCCCAAAAGTACATTATCAGATAGCAGAGTTCCAAACAGTAATACTGAATTTGATTGAAATTGATTTCACCACATATAGAACACCTTTATACATATGACACAATAGTGGCACACGCTATTCAAATAGTATGATATATCTTAGTACAATCCATCTGTTAAAGATAGGGGGTACTCCCCTGACTCTCATATCTATGTCCTTAAATCTCCCACACAAACGAGCCATTCAGCTGATGATTAGCATGAAACTAAATATACTGGCTTAAAATTACATTATGCACTGCCCAATTAAGCAAAACGCTATTTTGCTCTCGGCCAGTTTGTACACAGCAGTTGACCCAATAATGGCAGCACTTCTTGACTGACAACTGTAAAAGATTGAGAGATAATTTTTTGAAAATATAAATACAATTCTGTGTGATGCGAGTGCCAACGAACATGATAAAAATAACTGCTTTCTGAATTTTGTGACAAAGTCTTCGAAAAAGTTTACATTACTCATGTAGCCCTTGCTCTCATCCTTGCTCTTCTGCCTGTGACAGCTTGGAAACCTGATTTGATGCTTACGACGGAGCAGCGTGATTGACATACATTACATCGAAGAAAATATAATCTATCCTTTCTCTCAAGAACTGTGTCAGGTGAGCGGCAGGTATGACAAGTCACATATTCCTCTGAAAAAACGAGAGTAAGAATGTCATGTACTATTCGGATATTAATTTAAAAAAAGTCAACAACATTGGCTTAATCCAGGGGTGTGCAAGGGCGGCCTGCTGGCCACAACCCGGCCCGCCAAACCATTTCGTGTGGCCCTTTCCAACATTCAGATTTTTCCCCATCAAGCATAAAACATCTGCTAACATCCTGATTCGTCGAATGGTTGAGAGGCAGACAAAATGCACGGTTTGAGTGGTGTCATCTCACTAGGTCGTGCGCTAGTCTCAGCTCAGTTGCAGAGCTCCCAATTTCCATTTGAGTACGCAGCATTTTTGAATTTTTTTTTGCCCTACCGAATTGCTCGAATTGTTGAGTCGTTCGACTAGATCTGGATCTTTGGCGATATGGAGGCTTTATAGTATGGCCATGTATGTACTCACTAACATTCTCGTGTATTGCACACAGAAAAAACAGAAAAAAGATTACAAATTAAAACATACTTATGTAACTTCTCAGGACACTTTCAAGTTGTTTTTGTTGGAATCTTCCTTTTATAATGAGTTGATTGTTTCCGTCAACAGAACCACTAAAATAAAGAGTATATTTATATAAACTTGAAAACATATCCACTCAGACTTTGAAATTGATTATAGTGAAAATTGCGTCACCAAGAAGCAAGAGGAACAGTTAGTCTGGTTGATTTATCCTGTTGCTTTGATTTATTTAACTCATTTCAAGAAATCGGAAACCCGACAGAAAATTATTTGAAAAATATCATTTGAAAGTACACTCAATGCAGTGGCATATACAATCAATAACAAATTAAACCTTTTTTCGTTCTTCAAATAATTCAGTTTTGAATGGAGTATGAATTCCAACGACAAGAAGCAAACACACTCACGACTAACAAATGGAAATAAATGCTACGAACCTCGTTCCAAGCTCAGCGAGAATAAAAGAAAGGCAATGTTTTGGTTGTCTTCGAAGGCTGTAAAAAGAAGAAAAATAGTAAAAAAATAAGCTCGAAAAATCATGAGAATACTAGAAATAATTCAAACCCGAAAATTTTATTTTTTAGAACTGCAACATTGCTCTTAGGTATACAGCGTATGAAATCGCTAAACACAGACCAACTACACATGGGCTCAAAATTTAGTAGTATGGAACACATTGATGAACAATTGCATTTCATGTGAGCATATGACTAGTTTAACTTACACTGCGCATATTTCTGTGAAGTTAATAAAAGAGGTTTTTCTTGTTCCAACACGAGCACATTGTGGGGGTCTCATTATAAATCTCTTCTTTTCACCGGCGACCATTTCTGGATTTTTTTTCTCATGATGTCAAATACCCTTGCCAATAACTGAAATGAATAAATTAGACATTTTACAAGGGATTTACAGTTAAATGAGCAAACAGATAGCCAAGTGTGCCAACTAAGTACATTTATCCATCAAATATTCATTTTTATTTACAATTCTTCTCCTGATAGAGGGACCAAGTAAGAAGATAACAGTTGACACAAGGGTACTCATATCATATATGAACAAACTTGGCTCAGACAAAAACATCAAATGAAACCACATTTTGTGTACCACGTGTTAATTACATTAACATATTCATAATAATAAAATAACACTTTAGCATATCAATAAAGGTGTTGAAGAAAAATCTGTTATTAACATTACTATAGATATCATGACATTTTAAATAAATTAACTGCCGCCCTCTCATCGTTATTCGGAATAGAAATACGAGTCTGCAGAAGTATTTACTCAAACCCAACTAATTCAGCCAACGATATACATGCAATGACATAACCAGACCAAAATGAAGATACCAGGTTAGAGTTAGCCCATGATTTTATTCGATTTTTTCTTATTTTAGTTCTATTACGAGTTCGGGGACTGTCTGTGTTAGCCAGTGAATATACCCCCTGTCCATAAGATTCAGTCCCCTTACACATCTTGATGTAAAGTAAGCGAACAAAATTAGTTACATCTATATTGCTATACACACTCCTGGAGCGCCAAAATGGAAATATAGAATGTGTGAATTAACAAACCTCTTCATATGTATAGTCTCTATCTGTTCCTGCCCATGTTGATTCTCCTGGAGTTACATGAATTTCTTCTTGTTCTGAAATAAACAAATGAAACCCATGAAAATGTGTTAAATTATGCATAGAACAAATTTCGACAAAAAATTGACAAAACAAATACCATTTTGTTCCTCAACTTGGTCTGCGAAAGCAACTTCTTTGCCCTTTTTCTTTTTCTTCTTATGAGTTAAATCGAGTTCTTCTTCTTCTCCGTCTTCTTTCTATGGAACAAAACGTATTATCCAATAAGAATTGAGAACAGGGATAATACTTAGAACGGTGGACTATAAAAAGTATTCAGATATAAACTTTGTAGATAACTGATAAAAATGAGATTCTATATAAATAACATTAAATTTAACTACCATACTGATGAGATAAAAACAACCAACACATAAAGTAACTCACAATACAACTTCAATAAAGAAATTATTAAAATAATTTACTTTTTCTTGAGCTGTGCCCTCATCCCCAGCATCACCTGCAAAATATGAATAAACAAGATATTTTAGATTTATTTATGCAGAGAGATGATAAAAATATTAAAAAAAACTTTTTCCTATAGGCACCCAAAGTTTTCACCGTAAGTTTCTACAGGTCACATAATGAAATGTATTGTTTTAATTCTGTTGGACCAAAAGTATTAAATTGATGCAACATAATTTATTCATTTTTATTTACACCATTTTCATTTCACCTTTTCATCCTCGAATAAGAGCAAACCACGAAAACAGTTTTATCGTCAATTAAAACACACTTTAAAGCACAAAATTAGTACCACTGCAAAAATTATATCCTAATTTTTATGTCAAACAAAGCCAACAAAAATATTTTGGGCCAAAGGAATTTGTGCATCGCTGTTTACAATATGACAAAAACTTGGTTATCACTTATCGATCTCGATTGGTAAGTATGTTGATAGGTATTTGTCTGTTAGACACTTTCGTATGTTGCGCGATATATAATGAAAGCGAGGTTGAATCTGCTCCAAATTTTGCATGCGCATACATCATATCTAGAAGCCTATTGATTTTGGATGAATTATGTCGTATAATTAGAGTTATTAATTAATTACTGATAGGACACACAGTGTCTCTATTAAGTCATCAGAGCAAAGGAATCAAAACCGCAGATCGATAAGTCGGCAGTCTCCAATCGCAATCTAGTTGATCCTTTGACAACTTCGCTTCGCACAAGCTTGTGTTTGGGGCATTGTAACATCATAGACATAGATAATTATTGGACTAGGCCTTGCAATCCAAAGGGTCGCAAGTAACAGATAAAACGGAATTAAAAAAACTTGTTTCGCGGGCAGCACACTATTCAAAATTAGCACTTCTCCGAAGGCCGCACTATTTTTGTGGGCCGCAGTTCGCACACCCCTGCACTAAATGACCCACAATACCTGTTTCGTTTTTATCTTTGTCACCTTCACCATCTTCGTCATCCAGGACAAACTTCTTTTTCTTCTTCTTTTTTTTCAGATTCGTGAGTGATAATTCATCTTCAACTATAAAAAGAACATTTAAAATAATTTCTATCTATATTCCATCTCTCTTTTTCCTGCCAACAAAAATTCAAGAGCAATCATAGTAAAAATGACTCATTAAAACTTGAGTCAAAAATGGAGCTGGACAGCAATTTTCAAATTTTATCAGATATCACATATTCCCGCCACGCTAATATTCTGTGGCTTATTATCTTATTTTTGAGAAAGTAACTGAGTGACAATATTAAAAGATTATTTACTTTGTCACCGGATCGTATCATCATGTAATCACACATGGGGAAAATTTGCTAGAAATAGTAATTGTATTAACAAAGGTAGTCTTTTAACAGTTTTTATCATACTCTTAGTGGTAATACCTTTTGGAGCCGGAGTTTCTCCATTTTCTTGTTTTAGTACTTCTGTCGACTCTGTATTACCAATGAGTTCATCTAAATTTGCAGTCTTCTTTTTCTTCTTCTTCTTTGTTAATTCAAGATTCTGTGATTCAATAGTCAGAAAAAAAAGTTCGAAGTTACACTCAACTAGTATACAGGGCTTTTTGGTTAGAAGGGTGGAATTTTACTATTTATCCTGAAATGTGGTGGCGAGCACATTCCAGTTCCTTATGACAGTATGACTGTATGCTTTGAGTGATGCCCCACACTGCATAGCTGATTAATATGAAATAAGGGAAATTTATTTTAAGATCGGTACTCGGTATCCACATACCGTAGGTACAAAGCAAACTTCAGAACACAATGCACAGAATACCGGTATAGAACATAACTTCATCTTGCACCTGACAAATCTGAAATGCCAAAACTTACCATATCGTCATTGTCCTCTGCCGCGGCCATTGCTGATTTATTAATCAATTCGTGTATTTATGAAAAAAAACTAATATAAATAAGGAACTTGTTAGCTGAACAAAAGAACTGAGAGCATACGGTACAAACAGCTCCACTGCAATTTTTGCGTTAAAACGTGAGCAAGACCTCGTCAACGAATGACGATTTCGCAATTTTTCATAACAGAACAGATGGTGTTCGGTGTTGCGTGAAGGGTGGATCTCATTAAAATTTCTTAAAATTGCATCATTTTTACATTGAATCAGTCGTACATTCAATTACTTCATGATCAATCAATTTTTGACAAACTTTTTACTTGATATTTGTTGTCGAAATATTGCCAATAATGACATCCATAATGCGGTGCTCACTCAGCCGTTAAAAAAGAAATATTGCATCAGCCATATAGAAAAGGGAACGCAGTTGGCGTAGTGATACCAGAGCCATTATATAACGGCTTTGGTGATAGTGACCACGGCACTTGCCACGCTGCCCTTTGCGATTTTCTCAAAATTATGGTGACTATGGATGTTTCTCCGAGCGTCGATTCCCTTGTTTATTTTGTACCAATGAACAATCAGCAATAAGTCAACAATGGAACCTTGTGCAGTCGCTCGTACACTTTATTTCGGCCTCACTTTCATTATTAAATTTAGAATATTAAATTGCCGACTCGTACATATACATTTTATCTCTATTTTTTATCCATATTTCATCGCCAATGCTTCATCTGACTGATTTTTATATACAGCATGGATCAGGAACCTCGGTGACTGAAACGGCGCGGATTTGACAAGCCAACCTTTCATTCCAGGGGCATAGTAATAGTTTAATTTAAACGTTTTCCATACCATTGTGGGTAGATAACGGGCCTAAAAATTAGCTGTAAATACTTTTAAAAAATATCCTCTATGACTATAAGTCTTTGCTTCAAATAATTGAAATCGTTCAACTCATTAGAAAACTTGCACTTTGTTTCCGGGACTTTGATAATTCAACGACATTCGGGTGTTAAATTAACGCATGGTTCATACGGTCATATCCTAACCATGACATAAATATTTTTCTCTATATCTGAACTAGTCAAGTGAGACGCGAATCAGTGGTGAATCGGATGCCTCCGTTAAAAACATTTAGGAGTTTCAAATAGAAAAACTATTTATGACTGTCATACTGCAAAACCGTAAACCACATTCAAGTCTTTTCGGCGGGACGGCGGAAACCTTAGATAAGGTTTATAACGTACAAAATATAAGATGGGAGGTTTTGCCAAGAGGAAGTGGTACGTGTTTACTCACCTAAAATGATTAAGTTATTTCACACACGCTCACATGCACACACACTCAACCACTGAGAAGTTATTTTAAGTCAGAATAAAACGCGATAAATTTAGGGTATACTATACAATAAACAAAAAAAATAAAAATAAATACTAGAGAAAGAAAAAAAAATTATTTGCCACACCATATTGATAATTTTTTAATGGTTGCCATTGCCAAATTGATCGATCTTCTAATCGTTAATTAAAATATAAAAGATTCTATTGAAAACATATTGCCAAGCTGATTATAGTTGGAGTCAAATGCCAAGTTGCCCAACCAAAGTTGCCAGAATTGGGTGCATGAAGAGGTGGGCGAGACCATTTCATTCCCCAAGTTAGAGCCTATTATTGCCAAATTATAGTCCAGATTGTAATAAGTAATTAAAGTTACCGGTAACAGTAAAATTACTATAATTAAGTAAAGTAGGATATGGAAATAAATTGGTTTCAAAGGGTGTAAGTGAGGTTTTTCATTCTTGGGTATTGATTTCAGACAAGGATATAGGAATAAGATTGTTATTTCACAGGATATCAGAGTCTTTGTTTGATTTTTTTCTTATGTGTTTTACTTCATTTAATCACTTTGAAGAAACCTGAAAAACAAAAAATAAAACTGCGAGTAGATGTTTCAATGATTTGGTGAAGGGGAACAAGCTGAACTATTTATTACAGGCAAAAAATAATTGTTTAATTAAATGGGATGTATTGTCATTATATAGCGATGGATAGATGATCTATGATGACATTCTGCCTGGGACAGAGAAAAATTTATCACACCATGCAAAAAACACACAAAATTTTACTATCTATACCTTGGCCAACATGTCAACTCAAACACCTGTGACGACCCTTGTTTTGCCTGTTAAATGACGTCATGTGATATCGTTTCCATATTTGGTAGTCTAGCAGTTTAAACGCTGCGACACGGTCGATCGGTTCTCGGGGGCAGCGTGGTCTGTTGGGGTATGCTGTGTGTGACAGAGTGCAGTCGCCTGAGTGTTTCGGTTGGGTTGGTGGGTTTTGAATGTCTGTGTGAATGCCTCTGGTCTTCAGGGATGTTTGTCTGTGTTGTGTGACTGTCGGATGTGTTGTGCTGGACAGTGGGCTGACGTAGGGACCATGTTATTGTTTTTACCAGTACAGTGCCATTACAGTTCATTTACCGTAGTGTTGTATTTTCAGTTTTATCGTGGAATTAGCTTTCATCAGTATTGTTCAAATGTTGTGGACCTATAGAATTGTTCATAGTCTTTTTAAATGCCTGTCATAAGTTACTTTCGGCCTGTTTTGCAAATTGCAGTAGCTAGTTCATTGTACCAGATTCTAGGGGTCATTTGGTTTTTTATTCAGAGTTGTCTTGGATTTCAGGGTTGGTCAGTGTTTTTGTTGTGTATGTGGTCTTTCTTGCATTTTACTGCCTGGTATCTGTTATTTTTATTTTATGCTTTTCGTTCCTTTGGGGAGTGTTTGGTTGTTTTGGATCGTTCACTGTTCGAGTTGTTAATAAATGACATAAAATAGCATAAAGACTTGGACTATTGAGAGAAAACTTGACGTCAGATCATATTAGAAGATATTCTGAACCTGGATAATTATTTCATACATTGCCGGTACGCTACAATTTTTGGCGAGAGCACGCCAGGATGTTTTCTATGAACTATGATTTTTTTTCTCTTACTTGGACTAATGGATGATATGTCAAGGCCCTGGTCAATAACGTGCCTGTTTTGTTTTTGATTGATACCAGTGCGGGTGTCTGGCTCATTGACACCGCTGTTTACTTGACGTTGCAGGAAGATTCGAACATTTCGGGGCTGCATCCTGTTCCAGTGCCACTCCGTACTGCCGGTTGCGAGTCATTGGTGTCTCATGGTGTACTTGATGTCAACCTGACGATTGAAAGCTGGTCTGTGGAGCATACAGTTGTGGTCGCCGATCCAGGGTCACGTGCGGGTGTCTCGCTCATAGACACCGCTGTTTACTTGACGTTGCGGGAAATTCGGTTCGGGTGTCTCGCTCATAGACACCGCTGTTTACTCGACGTTGCAGGAAATTCGGACATTTCAGAACTGTATTCTTTTCCAGTACCATTGCGTACTGCCAGTGGCGAGTCGTTAGTGTCTCATGGTGCACTTGATGTCAACCTGACGATTGAAAGCTGGCCTGTGGAGCATACCGTTGCCGTCGCCGATCTAGGGTCACGGATGGACTATCTTGGCAAATTCGTCGCATCGTTTTGTTCTTGAGGGACAGGATGTTAAGGTACAGCACCAAACAGCTTCTCCCTGCTGTCATGGGACTATAGTTGAAGATGTGGTTATACCGGCCGCTCGGGACTGGTTGTTCTAGTTCAGCTACAACAGCCTTGGCCGTCCGGAGATCTAACATAGTAGCCGTTGTTGAGCCAGTGGAGATATGCAACATCAATTTGGTCGCTTCGATGATGTTTGTGGACTCAATCCAGAATGACAAACTTTACGGATGATTAAGCGTGAGGGTAGACGGCCTGCATATTTTAAAGACATTCGTGGACATATTTTGGTTTTGACTACTGCTTTTCGTGTTTCAAATATTTTTTTTTAGAGATGAAAACATTCTTTCATAATGTTCCATCTAGAAGAGGGGGGTAATGTGACGACCCTTGTTTTGCCTGTTAAATGACGTCATGTGATATCGTTTCCATATTTGGTAGTCTAGCAGTTTAGACGCTGCGACACGGTCGATCGGTTCTCGGGGGCAGCGTGGTCTGTTGGGGTATGCTGTGTGTGACCAATGACATTAAACAACATGATAGGCAACTCTGACGTCACTCCATAAGACTACATGCGAAAGATTGTATTTCATGATACGCTCCAATGCACATATTTCTCGTCGCCTTTCGCGACGGTTTTCCGCTTGCTTTCGCTACTCGGCGTCTTCTTTACGTGTAGTACCTCCCTTTTTGCGCCTGTAACGAAAGAAAATAATCTCTATATCTGAGAAGTTTTGCTCATTTGGAAAGCTGGAATGGCAGACAAGCTGTAAAGAGTAATTCTGAACATCATAGACGTTTTTTTTTTATCAGAGAATATTACAAACGCGATAGCGTAAAGATTTGTGTGAAACATTTTGCAGATAATGACAAAGTTCAAAGTTAGTAATTTTAATGTTTGCGCTTAAACATTGAAATTTCATTTAAAGAGGGTGTCATACAAAACAGCAAAACTGTTTTTACTTCTCTTAAAGGTGCTGTGATACAATTCCATAACACAAAGTTTGCACCTATCGAACTTGCTTTAGTAGGTGAATTTATTAGACATATTACATATTCAGTTAATCGTAGGTAACATTGCTGGTACATAATGCCTCGTAGATAGGTTTGTGTCTAAATTTAGGAATTTAGCTCATAGCCCGCTAATTAATATTATCTTCTATGCAGGAGATTGCAGGGCTGATTCAACTTGCAGCCTTACCGATCACCTGACGATGCTCATTTAGTTTGTCTCGAGCAAGTCTTCTTGAAAGACTTGTGTGAATGGAAACTACCTATATGTTTTGCCTTCCTCCGATTTTAGAAGACAAATTTATTCTGAGGATTTGCATATAATTCTCATTGATTGTTGGCTGTTTATAATTCCTATTAAATGTGAATTCTGATTATAACAAAGAGTTAAACATTTTTTACGTAATTTACGGGCACTTTTTTCTTGTCAATACTCCAAGCTGAGGTAATAAGCAAGACAATACATTTATGTCATCTGAAGCAAAATATACACACTAATTAAAAGTTTGACACATTGAGATAATACATCATGACAGAAAATACAAAGATACAGTATGTATGACCATCACATGGTAATTAAA